TCGCCTACAGCTCTTCTCGGATCTCGGCCACAGTTTTTTCGGAATCTTCCGTTCTCCCAATAACACCCCCCCGCCCCCCCCTCGGTGTTTGCCATCGGGATTGGGATTTCGTCACTTGGCAACGACGTTGTAAAACAAGCCAATTCACTTCATGAACTCGGCAACCAGGTTACCGGGGTTTTTTGTTGCCTCTGTTTTTATTTTGGCGGTAACCATAATGGTGGTCGAGTAGGTCATGTTGTGCGGGGTGGAGAACCCTCACTCCGCGCAAGGGGGATGATTGCACCACGTTGTGTTAAAATGGTCAAGCACCCTCGAGGCAGTTACACAGTGCTTATAACTGTCTCTGGAAGTGAAAGCACCAGAAAATAAATTATGTCATACGCAGCTGTCATCCGTACGCAAGCAAGTAAGCACAAGATGCCGAACACCCTGAGCAGGATGCAGCGCACCCTTCATGCGACTCGCCGAATACCTCACGGCGCTTCGCGCTTGGTGATGTGAGAGCCTGGTCCGGTGAGAACCCGGCGTGCTCCGTCCCGACTTTGTAGGGATGCGAGGTCAATGGTCTAACGACTACGGCATGCACGATTATGAGTACCCACCCCCCCCCCTCCCCCCGCGCCACCCGGGTACGAGCAATTCGCGGTCAGGAACATCCACAAATTGAGCTTGATGTGATACGCATCAGCTTCTTGGACGGCCTTTTGATATTCCGTCAGTCCGTCAACCTTGGGGCAGGTGTGCATCCGTGTTTTGGTGCGCACCGTTACTTTTCGAGGTTCTTGGCGTTCAGCTTTCGTCCACGGTTTCTCATTATTGAGTCGGAGATTTTGGACGACAGTAGTAACAATCGTTGCCGCAACGCCGCACCTTCTCCTCCAACTCGAAATCCGCGTTGAAGCTCTCCACCGCCCGAATGGCCATCGACAACGGGGCAACGGCGGCGGCGGCGTCGGTTTGTCGTCCCCTTCGACACGTGGCTGATCTCCTCTCTGCCGTGGCTTGCGGCGCGGAAGATAACCTCGCGCCTGGCCGGCGTATTTGTGTTTGTTCCGCAGCGTGCAGCCGGGGGAGGGGGGCACACCAGTACGCCGGGCAACAATGTTAGCGGTGCACATTGCACGTGCGGCGGGAGAATATTGTTGTCAGCACCATCCGATCTCTTGTTCAGTGCCCTCAAACTTATGTACCCTTAGCCCCATTTGAGCGGCTCGTGTTGTGGATGATGGTCTAACTGATCGGACGCCTTCCCTTCGGACAGGCTTAACTACCCCCCAAAGGGCATAATTTTCTGAAACACGAAGAGATAACCATGTACTACAAGGCCCTACGCATATAGCAATCAACACCAAACGGGTCTCTCTTTGTATGTATGCACACGGCAGGTGTTTACAGTACAACACAGCACAGGTGAGGTGTTAACTGCTGTCATTATGCCGACAACGCGGGAGGCTGAGAAAGCGACCTGTCCGCGACACACAACAATAGCAAGCTTGACACACCAGATGAGTGTGCGTGTGCGTGAGCGAGCTGGCAGGTGTTTAAGTACAACGGGTGCCTCTCTTCGCTTTCGACAGCGATACAAGCTGTTGCTCAGACACATGTATGTACCACCTCGCTGTTGCCGCTCCCTGGTGCGGGGTTGACACGCGTTCACTGCTGTAAGGAATCCCTTAGACTCAAGACCCTCAAATTCAGCAACTGCTGCCTGCTGTAGGCCGCCGCATAGATATCTGCATGGCTGGCTACCGGAAGTCAGGGAGATAGGGAGGGGGCGGGACTGAATCGTTGCTCGGCTCCTGCCGCTACCGCCGTGGCTGCAGAGTGTATTACTGCTGTCATCGGAGACAGCGGACGGTGCAGCGCGGAGTGTTCCAACCTGGGGAGAGCCTGCATGCGGGAAATAAAGCATCGGCTGTACTTTCTGCTGTAGACCGCTCTACAGCTCAAGGCCAGGGCCGGTTCTGTACAGCACGCAGAGCAGCATACAAGTGCCTTCTTGCTAATGGCTTATGCTGCCGAGGGCCATAGTCTACATGTGTACACGTCTGGTGTTGCTGCCTAAACTTGAAGCGCGTCCTCAGTCCTCAGGGATGGGCGGACAGCCGGCTGCAAGCAGTACACGGCATTCAGGACCGGAGGACGGGTGATTATATCATGTGGTACATGAAAGAGAGGAGCACGCTTCCTTCATCGAATCGTGTAGCAGCCGCCAACCTTCCGTATTCCATGCACCACGCCCTCATGAACATGCGCACGGCACCCACTCCACAAAGCAACGCCATATGTACAGCGCGCCCTCTCATGCTTTTACTTCATGTCATGTGGCGGGGTGAATCGACCCACCTCCCATTGGCACGAAGGCTGTGGTGGAAGACACGATTGCCGTGGCTGCGAGAACGTATGCTGCTGATCGCGCCATGGCTCCTGCTCCGCTTCTGGCTCGCCGGATCCGTACGCGTGATGTATGTATGCTGTGATGCTGTGCTTCTCTCCGTACCCCTGCTCCCTGCTGTGCCCTGCCTGCTCCAACCTCGAAAATGCGCACAATTTTCTCTAGAAAACATGCGATGAAAATGTCGAACTCCAAAACCGGGGATCGGGGAACATTGCTAATCTGTGTCTCTGACTCTTTTGATGGAGAGATGGATTCGTTGTGTCATATTAAGAAAAAAAAAAAAAGTGGCACGAACCGGCAGTCCGCGACCGTCGGCAACACACCTATTTTTCCATGGATCCGCGGGTAGCTAGGCCGCGATGATGACCACGGATGACAAAACGAAGTACGGGGGGAATGGACGGTATGCGCGGGGTGAAATGTATCTGATCCTGGCCGCACGTATTGCATACGTCTTGAAAAATAAAGATCTCGGGGTAGCTGTACTTCGGATGTTGGACACTCTGGCCACCCATCCTGTGGGTGACGCCCAACCCAATTTCGGTACTCTTTGTTGCGCCTGATAATGAGGAGGGTTTGTCGATGTAGTATGCAGTGCGCCGTACCAACTATCGGAACGACATACCATGCCAATCGATCGCCATAGAGAAGAACGACTTTGTTCAAGAGAATCTCCCCATCAACCAATGAATCGAAGGGAGGGAGAGAGGAGGGTGTTTGTCTTTCATTTTTCCCTCTTTTCGTACAACGAATGAAACTGTTCTTTTTCTGGACACCTGGAGCCCGCGAACATTCTACCGCCGCCGTGCGACTGGTCGTACTCGCGGTCTCGATGAACGTCTCGATCCATGCAGACTACAGGCGGTCAGATGTATAGCCATCTTCGCGCGACGTCAACCAACCGCAGGCGTTTACTCATCGCGCAAAATATGGCATGAATGAGAGCTAGCGAACAACGGCGAACCAGTCAAGAGCGAAAGCTCCTGCGTCAGAGTCCATGCGTGCTGTATAATGTAGGTGTAGAGGCCAAAGACATGGCAAGGAGACCAGGAGGAATATAAAATACGAAGGAGGACGAAAAAGCCTCTTCATTCCCGTAAATATTAGCTTTCTTTGTTGAGCTACCATCGAGGCTCTCACGTGCTCACCACTGCTCTCACTTGAAATTATTTTTCTTTGTTTACCTTCCCATCCATTCTGGGTGCCAGTCTACACACCACCTTTCTTTCGGTCAATAATATTCAACGCACCACTCTGATCTGCGCAACAGGAAGAACTCTCTTGCCTCTCCTCCTGCGGCCTCCAAACTTGACTTGACTACAGATGTTCCACGTTTAAAGTACTCACCACGCGAAAGTAGAACGAAAACAAAGTGTTGCTGCAAAGAATGTCCCCACTCTGCAAACACTACAACGACACAGCACCAGACAACCTCTCTTCGCACCATCTTCCAATCAATCCTCTCGGTTGTCTCGAACGTACGCGGGCGCCTTGAAAGGCGCTCCGAGAATCAAAGCAGCCGCCAAAACGAACTCATTTTACCGAAAATATACAGAGTGCCCGTTCAACTCGTGACGATTTCCCTCGCGATTACACATGCGTCGGCGGCAAGCGCAAAAAAACAAAGGAAAATGAACACAACGTGCGGCGTTCTCTAGCTCATCGCTTCCCCCAACAAGACAAGCGACAATAACAGCGGTAAAGACCCCCTGCGCGCGCTGTTGATCTGTCCACAACAAATTAATATATGGGAGACAAACGGCCAACCTTTTTTTTTACGCCCCTCCTCCCACAGGCCGGATTTCTCGAAACGCCCTCTCCTACTCCTGTCAAAAGCCTAAGGCTGATGATAGCACACGCTGAGACCCTACATAGTCGCCTTGCTGGTTTCGGCAACACACACTAAACCAGCATTAGCGAAGGACGATCGATACGCCGTCCCCGCCCCTAAATGAAACCAACAGTTGATAAAAAAAGAACTAGCTCACGCAAAGAAGACGAAACGCTCGGTTCGGAATCCCCCTCCCCCCCCCAGCTTTTGGTATTTTACCCTTCGAGCGGTCTCGTTACCTTCCCTCTCTAAAGTCATCGCCATGATTACACCCCTTTACTTTTCGAGAGTTTCTTCATCTCGCGTATAATCTTAAATCTTCCGACGAAATGAAATACCGCACGTGTCACATGTCACAGACAGGCCAACCATCCGGAACTCCACAAAGACCGGGTGCAAATACCTTGCACTCCTTGCCTGCCTGAGAAAATGAGCAATTCTACCTTTTTTTTCTTCTGAAAACAGATGCATGGAATAAAGCAGCATACGAAAGGAGTAGCAGTGATACCGTCAACACAGCAGCAGCCGAAGCCGCACGCACCTACTACCCATCCAAACAAACAACGTGCAACTTTCGGCCATCACCGCCGGCCGGTCGTTCTTGAAGGAAGAAACGACACCGCTTTTGCTGCTGCTGCTGCTGCTGTACGATAGCAACGGGCTCAACGAGGTCACAACGGCGCGCCAAGCGAACCCACCCCCACCAGGCGGGCGAACAGCTGGTAGGCCCCCTCGCCGCCCGCAGCCGCGGCGACAGCGGCGGCGGCGTCCTCCTCCTCCTTCTCCTTGGCGCTCTTCTTGGCCCGGGCCGCCGTTCTGCTGACTCTGCTGTTGCCCGGGCGCGACGAGCGCGAGCCGGTCTTGCTGACCTGTTGTTTCGACGTGACGTCACGCTGGGGGGGCGCGAGGCACGAACCAAAAGAAACGTGGGACTTATATTTCTTGCTGTCGGCTTTACACCACAAGAGTGCGCATGCAATCATAAATACAGCAGTATAGACCTGAAATTCACGGGCCTTAGATTGGAAAACACCGTCCCTTCAAAACGCTCATACCCACATTGGCACACCCGCGGGCCCTCCGGACTCCCAAGCGCGTATTTTTTCTGGATTAGCGTTCTCTTGCTACTCAGCGGTCGGTAAGCGTCCATGTTGCATAATGAAATACACTCGCGCAATCGAGCGAGCGGGCACGGGCGCGAACGAACCACCAAAAAAACAAAAGTCGTACGCATGCATAGTGTGGGCGTGAAAACAAAAGACAAGGGTCCCATTTCTAATCTCCCTACAGAAACGCCGTCGACGTCGATTCCTGATTTTTCTTATGAACAGATCACATCAAACGTAGTATTCCACGAACATACGGTCAAAAATTCGCTGCTTTCTACTGCCACGTTGTGGCGAGGGGATCGAGAACAAAAAATACACGACGTGACGCATACGGTGCGGTCCACATTTGGACATGAAAAAACGGCCGTGGAGGAGAAGAGAGCGAAAACAGGGAGCCCGCATGCACCTCACCCACCCATGACAAGCAGAACGCTGACGTACGACCGCAACTCTTACGTCGGTTGCACTCAAACGACCTCGGGACTATCAGTGGACTAACCTTGGTGTTGGGAGTCGCCGGAGACATGTTGACGGCGGCTGCCTTGTCTACGGCCGCCAGACCCACCGACAATGCCTCGGGGACACGAACAGGGGAGGAAAGAACGCCTCCTCCTCCTCCTCCGCTCGCCGTCACCGCCTGCTCCTTCACACACAAAAAAAAAAACATTCGTCGCAAAGAAAACGAGTACCACCACCGGGAGGTGTGCAAGTAATTGGCAAGCGTTTCGGTTCGGTCAGTGGAAAAGAACGAAAAAAAAATTGATCCTCGAATACGTCAAAATACTTAATATCAATTATAATGCTTGATTTTCGGGAGGGCGAATAAAGACACAGAGAGAAGAGGGTCACCGAGAGAAGAGGGTCCCTCGGAAAAACGAGATGCGACCACCACGCGACGAAACAAAACGACAGATAACAGAATACAAAAAAGCGCGTACCCAAGACGCCGGCCGGCGTGATTTGATCAAGGTCAAGATACCACATGTGCGGCCATCCTGGGCAAACCAAGAAAAGACGAATCAGGGGTGCAAGACTGGACCATCGTAATCGACATGGGAGTTCCGCCGCAAACGAAAACGCGTCGCATGTCCTTGCTGTTGCGCCATGAACGTTTCACCGCCACCCCTTACTTGCATGCTTCTCTTGCTCAGGCATGGATGGGTGCATACAAAATGCTTCGGCCTTTCAACTCTCCCTAAACCTCAATGCAACATCCCGATTGGTGCAGTTGTTTCCCCGACAATCCTTCGCCGCCAAACATCTGCACGCGGCAACAGCACGCGACAAACTACTTACGCAACAACAATACCAGCTTCAATGTGAGGTGCATGTAAGTGCGGTAGTCCTCTCACGTTGTGGCCCAGGTCCTCGCCCCGGTATCCCAGCTCCTCGTACCACTCCGCGTCGTATAGCTCTTCAGCGCGCACCTCCTCTTCCTCCTCCTCCTCCTCGTCTTGTTCTTCTTCCTCCTCTTCCTCGGACATGTCCCTCCCATACCACGCCGTTTCGTGTCCCTCCACGTTTGCCGCCACCTCTCCCGCCTCCTCTCCCTCGTCCCTTTCCAAGGCCTTCTCGATGATCTCCCTCTGGTACCACGCGGTGAAGTCCTCGTCCTCATCGTCGTCGTCGTCCTCCTCCTCCTCTTCTCCCTCCTCTTCCTCCGTCTCCTCCTCGATGTCCTTCAGATTATAGGGCGAGGCGACATCGCCACAGAATAGACGGGTTCGTCAAGACAAAACAAGGATTGGCCTGCCTTCGGGGGGCTTTGTAGCAACACAACAGCTGCCGTGCCGTCTCGCCGAGGTGCGCGGGCCCCTAGCTAGGGTTGGGTGCCTTGGAAGCGTGCTCCAGATATGCGACATGGACGGGGCTAGTTTCAATCGTTCCATTCCGCATCGATCGCGACTGCGCAAGCTGACAACGGACAACCGCGACTCCTCCCATTAATTCGACAAGTCACAAACAAACACACACTATTATATACTAATGCTGTCAAGCCAGTCAGCAGCAGCTGACAACCAAGTAAGCCCTTGAACCCGGGGGCCAAACCCACTAAAAAAACAATCGAGCGCGGTGTGTCACGATATTTTACTACGGGTGTGGCGATATCAAGAACCGTTCTTTAGCTTGTTCTTTGCGTAGAACATCATGCGTAGAACTTGCCACCCTGTGTATTTCGGATGGGGACTCCTCGGCGCTTCGAGAAAAGGCGGAAAGCAGAATTTGAGGCGAACGTACCAAGCGCATCGCCAGAGTTGACGAAGGAAGTAAGCCTAAATCCCGAAGCCTTGCAAGCCCGCTGTTTCTCGGTCCCATCTCAACCAAGAAAATAGCAGAACCAACAACAAAGATGCACTCTGTACCTCCAACACGTTGGGCTCCGAGCACCAGGTAGAGATCGCGAACACGCCTCCGGTGGCAGAAGAAACGCATTCTTCGTCGTAAGAACCGTCTTCTTGAGCATCACCAGCAGAATCCTCTCCAGACCCATCCTGTTCAGCAGCAGCAACGCCTGCAGCAGCAGCAGCAGCGGAGTCGTCCGTGGCGTCCTCGAGAGACCCCTCGTCGTCGCTCGGCAAGGGGCTCAAGGTCTCGGCACCGGCCAACGCCTCCGAGGCAGCACCGACGGCGGCGGCAGCCGCTGGTACATCAGGCGCAACAGCAACAGCGGCGGGCCCGGCCTCTTGCGCGGGCGAGGGCTTGGGGTAGTAGCCGCACCCCGGGAGGTCGTCCCAGTCCGCAGGGTAGAAGCCACACCCTGGGAGGTCTTTGCACGCCGCCGGTGCCTCCGGCGACGATGGCGACGGCGGCTTTGAACCTGCTGCTGCTGCTGCTTCCATGGACGCGTCCACGACGATGCGGGCACACGAGAACCTTGCCCACTGATGCAGCGGAGTGCGGGGAGGGAGGGAGGGAGGGAGGGAGGGAGCGGTGAGCTAAGCTCGTACATACGCGAAGCCCCCTATTTTTATTTGTCCGGGCAAAGGAGGACCTTGCCCACAGAGAGGAAATACGCGATGCGCGGAGGAGTGGGGGGAGGGAGGGACGGCCCGGTGGGGGAAGCCAAGGCGCTACTTCGTCCTCCTGCTGCGGACTATTGGATGAAACGGGAGAGAAAAATCTGTTGTTCGTTATGACCGTTCCTCATCAAACTCAAGGATCATACCGGTTTGACGGCGGGCTTTGCTTAGATACTGCTGTCTCTGCAAAAAGATAACGACATCGTTCGCCCGTGCCGTACCAAAAAATGTCGAGACACACCAAGCCCCATTTCCTGGGAATCTTGCGGCACTTTTAACGCCGCCATTCGATTGACCCTGTCCCGCTATCTCAACTCGCAATAAACGCCTCCAAGTTTCGTCACCAATACTGTAACAGGCTTACGCCTGGGAGGTTGGAATTGGTGCAACCATAATACGGAATACAACACCCCCCAGCGTCTCCCGAATGCCACAACTCCGTGCTAGATGTAGGTTTTCGGGTGCCAAAAATACTGCGACGGGACACACACGGAACCTTGTGTTTACGCTGCAGAGCGCTCATGCAAATTTTCTTTTTCGTCGGGATTGCACGTAAATTGTACTGGAAATGATGGACTCACACGCGCGATCGTCTCCTCGACCGAAAGAGGCGCCTTCCCGTGCTTCACGCTGTCACACGCTGGCACGACTCTCGTGTCCTCCTCGTCCTCTTCTTGCTGTGCCAGCCCCTCTCGCTTGGCGCTGGCCTCCTCTGCCTCCTCCTCGTCCTGCTTCTTCTCGATTGGCTCCCGTGGCAAGATGCCTTCCTCTTCCTCCTCCTGTTGCACGATTTCCTCCGCTTGGTGCTGCTTCCTCTCGATCGGCTCTCGTGGCAACATGTCTTCTTCCTCCTCCTCCTCCTCCTCCTCTCTCTCCTCCTGCCTTACAGCAGCGTCTTCCCCCTCCTCTTCCTCTTCCTCTTCCTGGTGTACGAGGATCCCCTCCTCCTCTCTCTCCTCAAGGTCAACAGCAGTGCCCTCCCCCTCCTCCTCTTTTTCCTGTTGTACGAGGATCCCTTCCTCCGCCTCCTCATCCTCTTCTCCCACTTGCTCTTGTTCTTCCTGTTGTACGAAGACCTCCACCTCCTCTTCCCCCTCTTGCACGTGCTCTTCCACTTCTTCTACTAGGACTTCTTTTTCTTCCTCCTCCTCCTCCTCCTCCCCCTCCTCCGCCTCGTTCAATTGGTCCTCCTGTCGTACCGTAATGTCCTCTCCTCCCTCCGCTGGCTCCTGCTGCACAGCATCCTTCTCCCCCATGACCTCCTCTTCTTCCTCCTATTCAACCAGGAACCGCATGGCAACAGCAGAGAGACAGACAGAGACGACGGGCTATAGTTGTAAAAACAGCAACACGTGTGCCATGATTGAGGGAGTGTTCACCAAATAGCGACTAGTAGCCCCTCGCGCGTGGCCTTCTGCGCACGGGTATGTGGTATCTTGCTTAACACCAGGTAGGCAAGGCGCAAGGAAGCCGAAACGGCCAAAGCTACATAGATGCAACGACGTGATGGGCACAACAACAGCTACCATCAAACTACGCATGCCCGAGTGAAACAACATTTGATTACGTAACCAGCCTTAAAACTCCTCGGCAAAACTAAGCGAACCAGTCTGTCCTTCGCACCCTCATCAGGGACCCCGCGAACTGGTAGCCAACGGTCGTTTTTCGTGTACCGATGAGACTCGTGTCCTTTGCCGAAGGCGAGCGGGCTTCAGAAAGCACGGGTCATTGCTACCATCCACAAGACACTAGAAAGACAAAATCACCAACCTCAAGTTCCGCCGCGGAGCTCCCAGTCCAAGAAACCGTCGACACGGCTGCACCAGCAGCAGCAGCAGACACCCCCGAGGCGACGTCCTCACCACAAACCTCTCCGCGCGGCGAGGCCGGGGGGGGGCTACGCGTCTCAGCCCCAGCCGCCGCGCCCCCAGAGATGCTCATCGGACGCAGCCAGGCGAATAGGTCCGCGGATGGCTCGGCCGAGGTCTCGGGTATGGCCAAGGTGGTGTCCCGGTTGCGCAGAGAGGCAGGGAAGTCGCGCAGGGATGGTTGTGACCACGACGACGATGATGGCAGCGTCTTGGTGGTCTTGTTCGATGCTTTCGCGGGGGGCTTGCAGATGCCGGGGTGTGAGAACCGCAGTCGTGATCCCTGGGTTGAAAGGAGGAGCCGAGATGGGGGAAGAGAGGGAGGGAGGGAGGGAGGGCATCAACGAAAACGAACAGTTTTTGATTCGATCGTACCCTCACTCCACAACAACAAAAAAAACAAGGAGAAAATATTCCGCTCACGCCGTGTAGAATGGTGGAAAGAGCGCGGCCAAAGCAGGTCCTGACTCGTGACAGCCACGCAACACGATTAAAAACTCATGAGGGGCATGAGGGGGCATGGGCTTGCTTTTTTCCCGGCTCGAGAGATTCTTTTTGATGCCAAGCAAAACACGCCTTCGGTTGGACCGCAGATCATGGGTGTGGTTCCATCCAACGGCATCTTGTTTCGCAGTTTCAAATCCCTCGTCGACATTTTTCGTTGTTCCTTTTTCTGGACTGAGAGCCCCACTTTCTACGTTGTGCTGTGGCCAACAAATTGTTTGACACGATTTTTCCGTTTGTGTTGCCGGACAGGCCACTTTCGTGCTTGCCTCGGCACTTCATATTCGCGTCTCCATACGTATGTTTCTCTTACGTCGGCCACATTTTCTCCGTGTTTCTCAGTCTTGCTTGCCTTGATGGCACCGGGGTATCATGACCGTTCGCTACGCAAGTGATGTCGACACGCCAAAAAGGCGACGCCATGGAAAGACCATATCGTCCACGCCTGGTGTACAGTGTATCGCTTGATCATACCATACATGAACCCTTTCGTGAACCCGCAAAATCGACAACACAAGGGTTTTTCAAGAAGCGTGTTTTTCGCACAGATTGGTGCGGAGCGAAGCAGTATTTTTACCGCTCCGCTCCGTCACAATGCCCAAGAAAAAAACGCACACTCCACTCCCCTGCGTGACATGCACTCCCAAAGTAAAAAAAGACGCTCTGGTCCGTACTGTGATGTTCTCAAGCAAAAAGCGCGGCATCCCGCACGGTGCGTGTTCACAACAAACCGCCGTGTAAGCGATCTACGGATTTTTTCCTTCTCCGTCACAGAACCCACGGCAGCAACCGCAACAATTCCACGGGTTTTTGGAACGGTCACGACGCGGACAATAGACACAGACGTGTGTCCCGACGCACCCGCCCACAAGGCACACGCACCACGACGTTGCCGGCGCGCAGTGCAACTGATCGTTGAGGAGGTCAAGCCTAACTCAGTACTCCTAGATTAGCGACGTCCTTGTGGCCAAGCGGGTCTCTTGGTGGCGAGTGTGTTCTCTGTGTATCAAGGATGGAGACAAATTTGTGTCTTCTCTGAAACAAAAAAATAAGACATGAGGGGGCTTGGGCCACCAGAACAAAAAGCACTGGCAAAACCCTAGCAGCAAACAAAACGAAGCTTCTTCCTTCGAGATTGGGCGGCCGCGAGTCTGCGGATGGTGTCTCACACACAGGCTGGCGTTCACGCTCAGCGTATTCTCGACAAAACTCATTTTTCGAGTTACCAATCCCAAAGTATTTCACCAAGTCGCAGATGAACCGTCACACGAGAATCTAGAGACCAGCGTTTCTTTTCTGACGGTTTACCATCGCCAAACCCGTGGTTCGGGCGGCTGTTGCATGTAAACAACCACGGAGTACACAGTAGAGCCGTACGAAAGTCGCGACGAAAAAACCGCCCGGCTCCGTGGTATTAAGCGAAACAAAACCTTCCGCTCTGGTCGGGTGTTGCCCTATTTGTAGGAGTAACAGCTACAACGTTCGTGAACTCCTCCTCCCAAAAAACAGGTCCACTCGACACCGTGACTTTTCCTCAACACAACACAACCCTTTGCTCCACGAACTATTTTCAAACTCAAACACAATATTTTTTGGAGCTTCCTCCTAATACGTGAACAGCCATAAAAAAATACGTGTGCCCATAAAACGATTCATAACAATCTCCCATCAAAATCGGATACATACCGCGATTTCTGTCAGTCCCAGCACGACCATCGAGGACTGACGACATCACAGGTAGGTAGGGCTGGCACTCCACGAGGCTGGTGTCTACTTGGTATTTTTTGAACACGTCACATTCTACAAGGGTGTCATGAAGACCGAACGTCTAAAGTCGGAAAGACTGACACCCTGCCTAACGACCGATTCATCCCTGTTGCAGACACAGACGTTGCCCGTCGTTCCGCACGCCCGCCCTACGGGGGGGACTAAATCCAAGTTGCTGCTGGTTGAGGTATTGGTTGAACTCTTGCGTGAACTCTCACAATTTGCTCCACGTCCTCCTCCTCCTCCATCGAGTCCAGGTCATCGTCCGTTGAATCCTCTTGCTCCTCGTCGTCGTAGCTCTCGTAAAAATGCACACCAAGCACCTCCTCCTCCTCCTCCTCTACTCCTCCGGACTTAGTCTGGTCGTCCTGATGCGAAGGGGAATCATCACGAAGAAGCGAGCATGGGAGTCAGACGAGTACTATGACACCTTCGAGGCAAAGATGCACGGAAGACGTGCCAGTATATGTCAGCACGCGATTCCAGTGACGGGCGAACAGGCCTGCTCGCAACCCTGAAAGTCTCCAAAGAAAAACACAAACAAGACGCTCCGCGGCCGTACTGCCGACAGAGCCCGCACACTATACTGTTGAAAGAGCCCGCGCACCGTGTTCTCGTCGGTTGTCAGGTCACGAGCCCAATGTCGTTATATGGTTGGTCAGCTGGCTATGAATAGCGCAGTCGAAGCTAACTTTACACACGCACACAAACGGAGGCGCAAACGAGCGTTTTTTCTCGCTTCGAGGCTGCCCTCTTTTCATGGGTCAGCAGGTAAACAAATGCGGCTGATGCTTACCAAAGAACGCACACAAACGAGACTGGCCTAATTCATTGGTCAGCCGGTCAACAAATGCGGCTGATGCTTATCGAAGAACACACACGAACGAAGACTGGCCTCATCCATTGGTCAGCCGGAAATACCCGTGGTCGATACTCATCGAAGAAATACCCCCACACGACACACGCACATGATCAGCGCGGTCGACACTAACAACAAAAAGAGACACACAAACGTACACGCTTCCACCCCTCGCCAACGCACGAACCTGCAGCAGCTGCGTCGCCGTCGTCATCATCGTCACGCCCCCGGTGGGTGCCGAAGGAACGTTCGCGCCTGATGCCGAGGGGCGAAAAACGCCTGTCGAAGAAGAAACGCCTTCCCCGTTGCCGGAGAACCTGGCGGCGAGCTCCGCGACAGAACGCTTCCTTTCGATCGGTGGTAGCGACAAATGGCCGTGCGGCTCATCGCAGGACTCCGCTACCGCTGAAGCAGCAGCAGCAGCAGCAGCAGCAGCAGCAGCAGCAGAAGAAGAAGAAGAAGGAGAATTGTCTACCGAAGACGCGGCGGAGGCGGAGGCAGTCCTAACTTCTCGGGGCCCCGCGACTGGGACGATGTAATCCTTGGGGTGGTCTAGCGAAGACACGGTGAGGGGGTCCTCGTCTTCCTCCTCCGACGAAGCCGCCGCTGCCGCCGCGGGCGAGCGCGACGAATACGACGACGACGACGAAGCCAGCGCCTCGAGGGCCTTGTTGATGGCCGCTTTTCGAGCGGAGGCGTTGGCGACCCCGGGCTGAGAGAAGAGAAGCCTCGCCTCCTGGTGGATGGGGAACGGAGGAAAACGCAACATTCAAGAAGTACGTGTGGTTCAGAGCGCGGCATCAACAGACAGACACGCGTGCAAGCAAACACATGTTGATTCTATGGCGTGTTAGATCTTCTCTAAAAGTGGAAACCTTTAATCAAATCGACCGTATTTACGTTCGACGGGTGCCAACGCTGCCGGTATGTACAAAGAAAAAACAACTCATGTCTCCAAAGGGCACCAAGTAGATCAACAAGATCGCCACGACTTAACCTTCACCACTTGCTGTCCGGGTCAGCCCGTGCAGTATGTGCGTGTACTAGTGGTGAGGCTACTCTGGGGCTCAAAGGAGGCAATGCTCGATGGAGGCTATTTGTAGAACGATCTTCAAAGTGTGAAAAAAATAACAACAGGCTAGAAGGATGTTTGCTATAAACAACTGCAGCTGCAGCAACGACAAAAAAAACGCCGCCATCACGCTTTGATTCAAACCACACTGTACAGCGGCCCCACTTTTGTGGCAGTGCCGGAGTTGCCTACATCATGGCCGATCAAACATTAGACGACGGTGAGGAGGACGAAAACCGTTGCCACCGACTGTTACAAGAAAGCGGCAGTCCACGAAACAGACAAACAACACCGACCCGACACGAATTTACTAATTGTTACACACGCACCTCCAGCAGCTCCGTTGCCGAAGCTCCGGCCGAATTCTTCGAAGAAACGCCTGGTGCGGTGGAAACCTCTTCTCGCGGCGGCGGGGTAGGGTCTTCGGCGCCGGCTTTTACCTCCGGGGCCCCATCCTCGGCAGCATCGTCGACGGCCGCCGCCTCGGTGAAGGCGGCAGCGTCAGGGGTAACATCGTCGGCAGTCACTTCGCTGATGGCATCGGCAGCGTCAGGGGTAACATCGTCGGCAGTCACTTCGCTGATGGCATCGGCAGCGGCATCGGCAGCGGCATCGGCAGCGGCATCGGCAGCAGCGTCGTCGACTGCTGCTGCATCATTAAAGCCGGCGGTGTCAGCGGCATCGTCGTCAGCGTAGTCGACTGCCGCTGCATCAGTGAAGGCATCGTCGTCAGCGACATCGTCGACGGCAGCCACCTCAGTGACAGCGTCAGCGTCATCAGCAGCATCGTCGAAACCAACCAACTCAGCGAAGGCGGCGGTGTCAGGCGCAGCATCGGCAGCAGCATCGTCGACGGCCGTTGCCTCAGTGAACGGGGCAGAATCGCCCGCAGCACCGTCATCGGATACCATCTCAGTGAAGTCGGCAGCGTCGTTGACAGCATCGGCAGCAACATCGTCCACGGTCGCTGCCTCAATGAACGGGGCTGCATCAGGGGTAGCATCGGCAGCAGCATCGCTGGCGGCAGCCACCTTAGTGTAGGCAGCAGAAGCAGCAGCAGGTTCAGCAGCAGCATCGTCTACGGCCGCGGCCTCAGAGGCAGCATCGTCGATGACATCGTCAGCAGCATCGAAGACCGCAACCGCGTCAGTGGAAGCGGCAGTTTCAGGGGCAGCATCGTCGAATACAGCAGCCGCGTCAGCAGCATCGTCGACCGCCATCGCCTCAGTGACGGCGGCGGTGCCAAGGGCAGCGTCGGCAACAGCATCAATCACGGCATCAGCATCTGCGGCAGCAGCAGCAGCAGCAGCAGCATCACCAACCTCAGGCGCCACGGGAGCCGCGGCCGTCGCCGTTGTAGCCTCTGCCTCCGGCATGAACAAGGTCTTGGGGTCGTACGCGGAGGCGCGGGAGTAGTCCGAGGACGACGACGACGAAGCGGGTGACGAGGGCTTTGCCGCTGCTGGTGCTGCTGTTGTAGTGGGCGTCACTGCTGGCCTAGACGAAGGGTCGAAGCTCCGGGGGCGGTAGAACCTTGTCCCGTGGCTGCAAGGATTGAAGGACGAGTTGGACCCCCTTCTCTCGATCATGCTCTGGAGAACGAAGACAGACGCCACAACAAACGGCGAGGTTTCAATACACTACTGAAAATACTTCACCACATCCCTTTCGACTGAGGTTATTTCTCGAACGGGTAGTCTTTTTGTGAGGTTATGTTTACTTTCTGAAAACGGCGAGGAGGAGTTGAGAGTTAAAAAGTGGAAGATGCCATCAGGTGCAGCAACTAGACGTGAAAAAAGGCTCGAAACAGGAGTGACGCGAGGCCAACGGTCTAACGACTACGGCATGCATTTGCGTAAGAACAACCCCCAATTTCGAGTGTGAATGCGGCGCCGAGCGCGAAGACCGGATTCATGTTGTGGCAGAATCCGTTTTACGAAAAGGAGAGAGAGCTGTACACGACGGAGCTGGGAGAAGTAGAAGGAAGGTACAGAGATGTTTCGAGGCATGGTAGCCAGGAGAAGAAGGTAGCTATACTGGGGCACAGAAAGTGTTTGAAAAGGTGGGAAGTGATATCGATAGGATAGATAGGGTGCAGTAGGGACAGCATTTTTGAACCACATTTGGCAAAACGAGTAAATAGGCAGGAACGATTGGCCTTCGGTGATCTTTCCTGGGAGAACAATGGTCCGTCCTCTCGAGGGCGCGTGGCCAACGGTCTACTTGTAATCGCTAAGGCATTCAGAAATGGAGTACGCCCACCCCCCTCGCCCCCCCAGCAAAACAGGGTGAAATACTCTTCGTTCACGAGACATGTCGCACTTGATAAGCATACAATACGGCATGCCCCGAGGTGTTGTTACATCTGACGTCTTTCAAGTATGAATACGAGCGTCTTCAAAGCAGCAGAACGCAGTGATAAAAAAATCCACTAACTCAAAACAATGCTTCTACTTATTCTACACGGCATTTCTCTTGCTGCCGTTGCATTTCACCCATGAGAGGGAGAGAGAGAGAGAGAGATGCACACCACTGAGAACGGCCAACAAGCGACCGGCATTCATACAGGTATGCTACGGGTGCCAGAACAATTTCGTCTACAACCGCAATATAACAGGCTCACCACCAAGCTCTTGACCTTCTGCAGTGGAACGACGTCGGTGTCACTGGGACCGCCGATGGTACTACGCCGGCTCCGGGCCGCCGCCGCCGCCGTTCCCAAGCCTCCGTCCCGTTCGCACGCAGCAGGAGCAGGAGTGTCCATAGTAGCACGTCGAGCAGCAGCAGCGGCAGGAGGAGGAGGGCTAGCAGCCCGAGCACAAGCAGAAGCAGCCGTAGCAATGGCAGCAGCGGCGGCAGCAGCATTGTTGTGCACCTCCCGGTCCATGTCCAGCTTCCGCGAAGTGCTCCCCCTGCGGCGCCCTCCCGCAGCGCCGGCGTATCCCGCCGCCACCGCCGCCGCCGCCGCGGCGGCAGCAGCGGCCGCAGCGGCCGCGGCGTTGGCGCTTTGCGTCATGATCTTGGCGGCGTCAGAGAGCGCCGCATCAGCAGCGTCGATGGCGGCCGCGACCTCTTCCTCGGAGTGATCCCCGCCGCCGGCAGGGCCCTCCACGACAACCGGCCCCACCGGTGACAGCAGCAGCTCGGCCGTGGTATCTTGCGCATTCGGAGCGGTGGCGGCGGCTGCGGCGGCCGGTTCGGGAAGGTCGTGAGAGACTGCTGCTGCCGCAGATGACGATTCGACGACCTGCTGCCGTTGCTGTTGCTGTTGCTCCTGCTGTTGTTGCTCGTCTGCGGGGCTATTTGGAGGGGTGCCGTCGCGAGACGAAGGGTCCTTGGCAGGGGCAGGAGAGGCAGTGACAGCAGCAGCAGCAGCCGCCGGAGAAGCAGCGACAGCAGCAGCAGTGCTAGGGGCGCATGAAGAATCAGCAACGGCCTTTGCCTTACCCCGGCCACTGGTGGCGCTCCTGCGGCTGCTGCTGGTGACCCGAACCTTCCGGTCGTCGCAGCTGGACATCATTTCTTTCCACCACCGGACCAAGCTCGCCACCTCACACCACACCAGCAGGAAGACGAGAAGGGCCATCACCAGCATCGCCGCCGCGGCGTGATCGTTCACGTCCCGGCCGAGCGCCGCGCCGACTCGCGCGCTTGACCGCCTCGAGGTCTCCTTGACCAGCCGGCCTGCCTCAAAGGTCCTCTTAGTCAACGCCCTCCCCCCCTCCGTCAAAGCTACCGCCGGCTGCAAGACCGTGCGCTGCGCAACAGCAGCAGCAGCAGAAGAAGAACGCTCGTGCTTGGCCTGCTGCTGCTTTGGAGATGGTTCCACGGCAGTTGCGGGCCTCTTCCTTTGAGCAGGAGCCGGTCGCCCTTCCGCCTTTGGCGCGTTTGGAGCCTTTGGCGGCGCCGGGCTGTGCACGGCTCCGTTCACGGACGCCGTGACGTAGGTGGTGTAGGATGACAGCACGTCCGTCCATGCGTCCGTCGCTGGGGAAGTCGGCGCCGGCGTTATGGGCGGCAAGGCGGCACGCGCCGCCGCCTTCTCGCGGGCGGGGGCGGGCGCCCGCTTCTCGGCCTTGCCGGCAGGAGCATCTGCGGGGATCGACGGCGAGGGCGGTAGAACCACCGAGCTCACGGCGGCCGTTGCCGAAGCCACAGCGTGGGACGTCGAGTTCACCACCCCGTCCGCGGCTTCGGTCGCGTAGTTCACGTAGGAAGTCACGCACTCCGCCCACGTCGCCGGGGGCGGAGGCTGCGCCGCCTCCGCCGCCGCCCGCGCCGCCGCCGCCCTTGCGGCCGCCGCTCTGCTGAGCACGGAGTAGAGAAACATGAGCACGCGAACAGGCCCGCCTTGGGGTCGCCGGCGGGAGGTCTGCCGTTAACTTTTGAGGATGCAACGAACGAACGAGAGTCTTGGCCCAATTCCACAAGAGCGCTTCTGCGCCGGTTGCGAGGGAGCACAGCAGCACGGGGAGGGGAAAGCAAAGTTGGGCATCGGCCTTTGCATCATGCGCGGACGCGCAGCGTGTGCGATGCAGCGATCATTTGTGTGCAGGTTGCATCTGTGGGGTGACCACGTTGTTGAAGGAACCCTTCTGCTGTTTTTTGAAAAGTCTGCAGGGGAGGGAATAAGAATGGTGCCGTATCTCACCTGTTGTACCTTACAAAGCGCGAAGGCGCGGTCTATTACCGGTGAAGGTCAGCTCGAGCTTACGGTTGCGGCGCACGCAGGCCCCGCACGACGGTATGTTTGCCCGTAATGGCGCGTTGTGAGGTCTCCCTCTCGCCTCTCGTGGCCCCTCCTACCGCCTGTACACTGAATCTGGAACGGGCGAACTTGCTGGCTCGGACGAGGGGGCCCGTCAAACTGGAAACACGCTCACATGCCAGGTACCGTACTACCTCTGAAAAAAAAATGCGGGAACGAGTGTGGAGGGGGTGCGGGGAGGGAGGAGACTCTTCGAGCTGCTGGAGGTACCAAATGCCAATCAAAGGCCCAAACTATAGCAGCAGTAGGCTTCATACGATATTTCTATTGGAAAGTGCCATTCGGACAACATTCGTTCGCCTTTGGATACGTATCGATCGGTGACAAAATTGATCTGTGCTGAGAACAGCAGTTACCACTCACTGCTGTAAGTGAGATCAACGATGAAGATTATTACGTCGTTCCTCGCTCCCCGCTTTGTTGTTCATGTCGGGTATCATTAGGAGAAGGTCAATGGGGTGGTCGACAGCATGGGGCAGGCGATTAACACGAAATACGAAAGTAAACGTGATCCACGAAACGAAGCGTGTGCGATTGCCATGCTACGATTCACCACAAAAAAATAGGAAAACATTCTGCTACACGCTACATTACCGTAAGTAGATTAACTGCCGAACCATTTTGAGTGGGGGATCTTCGGATTTATTTCATCGAATTTGCGTCGCCTTACTCCATGTTTACATTCGGCCTCGCGCCATGTTCTGGCGACAGCTTCCACAAAACAAAACCAGTGCTGCAAACTACGTTGGGGGCAACCACACGACAAGAACAACCGCCGTCCCAACCAGGATAGCCGCCCGTCAGATGTTCGTTCGACATTCGACATGAAGGAAGACCTTCGTAGAGACCGCTGTAGGGGAACGAATCGGAGTGGAGAACGAGACCTCGAAGAACACTTAAGGTTGGATGTTTCGCATCATGCCGCGCTCGGAAGCGAGGCGTGCGTGAAGAGTCGGAGCTTCACGCCGCCGTGCAGCCCCACCCCTGCCTCCCGCACCGCGGTCGCTCCCGGCACTCCCCAAGTGTTACATACAATTCGGCATGGCTTCATACCGCCACCCACCCCACCACCATCATTGCCACAACCACCATTCAAACGACGCTCTTCTTCCCCCCCCCGTGTTGATACCGCCTGATTGTCGGCTCCAGGAGCCCCCTCACTCTCTAGTGTTTCCCGCTCTACCCGCTGTGTCTCTGAGTCTCCTGGGAGAGGGAATGGTGTTGTTGTTGTTGTTGTTGTTGTGGCGGGGGTGCCGTGGCCGCGGCGGAGCAGGGGGAGGAGGTGGGACTGCGCGATATCGGCCATGGCGTCGGGCAGGAGGTACATGACCACCACCGTGGCGTCCGAGAGATCGACATCTCGTAGATCGCCGTGAACCACCGATACCTGCCAGAAACAAGCCAGAAGAATGGACCGAAAAAAGGCCGGAAATAGTATACAGCAAGCGCAGGTTACAACGGAGAAGAGGAGGGCCAGCGATTGAGGGCCAGGGGAAGACACCTGACATCGAAATAGGTCTCCCCCGAGATGTCGTGAGAGGGATCGCGAATGAAAGATGTCAGACAAGGTGAAATAGAGGACATTCACTGACCCAAACACCAGAGCCGGAAAAGGAATCGCATCAGAACGTCGCCACACAAAAGCAGGCAAAAAGAGCGAGCAGCATTTTTATCTGTCGCAGCGCCTAGACTAGCCTTCACCCTTCGCCCCAAGTCTCATCTCAAATACCCTGTGCGCTACCCACTTTTAGTTTCTGAGAACGGCCGGGTACTTCTCGGGCAACTCTGTTCGAACAATCAAATGTCTCGGTGCCTTGTCTCTCCTACGTGCCACAAAAACAGTTCCTCTAAAGCTAAATCGATCGTCGGCAGCAGCTATATATGTGATGGAGTCGCTGATACTGAACGAAGCGACCGCAGGTCCATCGACACACACCTTCGAGTTCAAGCCTTTCGCGGCGACCCGTCGTCGGAACTTCTCCGCCAGGTCTTCCTCGATCTCCACCCCTTCGTTAATTGAGTTCGAAAAGGCAAGCATCAGGACACGACATGCAAACGATGGCCCGATCGGCCAATAAACGGGACATGAAAATAGAGCATCAAGACCTCGACCAATGAGGATGGGGCCAGCCCAAAGAAAGGTTCGTACTACTGTAGTATCGACAACAAGGACGGACGGAGACAAAGAAGAACGGCAACAGCCGACACCGCAGCAGCGACCAATGCCGCCCTGGGAGGGACTCACCAAGCGCCCACATCAAGATTTAATCAGCCAACCATGACAAGGGTTGGGGGCCCGACTGTTGTTGGTTACGATCTGGATGTTGAAGGGTCGTTCCGCCCTCTATGCCTATTCAGCCCCTCTTGTTCCCTACTCTTGAAAAGGAAAGAAACATACCGACTGGTAGAAAGGAGTGTCTGAGGTCGCCTCAAGCTACACCAAACAAGAAGTACCAAATAGAGAAAATGTGGAGACCGAATGTCAGGAATTTGGTCCAAGAAATTCGATCAACCACGAGATCCGTTATTTCGCTGGGTACCTGCCCATTGCAGCCCCATTCCTGTCGGGAGTACTGTGTAAACGAGCGTGTTTTGGCAGAGAGGACCAACGTCTCCCAGAAAACGAAGACGACATAAACCCACAGCAGAAGTGCATTAACCGGCGCCTGTGTGTTTAATATTTTCCTGTTTGAATCTTTTGGTCTTAATCTCTTTCGAAGCGGTCATCTGCGATAACCGTTTTCACAAGCGAGCGCCGGAGACTGCACGCGAAGCAGGCGCAGCAGATGGCACCCCAGTTGCATGATGGGCGTCTGCCCTGAAGCCTTGAAAGCCTGATGCAACTTGCTCCGTCAACGCTAACCTTGACAAAACACGAGCCCCAGCAACAACAGACTCGAAGGCGGGCGCACAGCGGCAACACCATCAACTTGCCCCTTACCGCAAGCCTTGGCCCCCCGGCTTTCGGCGGCCTCAATGCAGATGCGCCCGTCTCCGCACCCGAGATCGTACAAAACCTTCGTTTGCCAAAGATGCGCGGATAGCGAGTAACATGGAAGGCGTTCCGCGGGCGATCTCACTCACATTGCTAGCCATGCAAGAGAAAAATAGTAGTGATGCAGGTATTATATGACGTAGTGTAGTGCAATAGTGTGGTACAACGCACGTACTTCTCCGTCGGTCGATGTAGAAAATAAGCACGCTTGAAACCGATTGTAGTTTGCGACATGCAGCGTGTCCTGGGCAGGAGGGATAGTGGGGTCATGGCAGAGGCCTGAACAGCGGTACATAGCAGCAGAAACAACCATGATCACCACACAGATGCATCCCCATCGCTACCTCAATCAAGATCACTTCCAAAAATGCATGTTTTGTCCAGAAGGACGTTGATGTCCAGAAGGACAACCACGCCAACCGCTAAAATAAAACCAACACATGCCTTAAAACTTACGTCATCCGCGGTAACCCCCGCAAAGTCGATGATGGCTCGCACGACGTCCATATCGGCTTGGCAGGGAGGCGCTAGCGAGTCTCCCTCCATCCACGCGGGCAAGGGGTTATCGCTGACCCCCTCATCCTCTTCTTCTTCCTCCTCTTGTCGCCCATGTGCAGCGTCGTCCGATCGAGACCCCGACGCCATCTATCTATGGTTTCGTGCGGCCCCCAACAACATACACCCATCCAAAGCGCGGACCGAAAGCAAGGGTGGTTGGTGGAGTGCTATTTTTCGCGTACGTCAGGAAAGGCCAACAAGAAGCCCACGACCCAGTCGCGGTTTGTTCATGTAGTGCCTGCATGATTTTTCAGGTTTACGTGTGGACATGATGCGAGATACATTTTGTTCATGTAGTAGCTGTACGGTTTTTCAGGTTTACGTGTAGACTTGATACGAAAGTTCAGTTTTCCACGTTGGTATGACCCCGATGACCGTCGGAATTTGGCACAAAGAGTCTAAGGAAAAGATGTGTTACTCTTTCCTTGTTTTTTCCGACTTAGACTCATCTCCTTTGCTTTTCAACCGACGAACGTAAACACCGATGTTGGCGTCCACGGTCATTGGAGCTGTTTTCAGCCACCAATATGTTGTAGCGGTTATCGATTCAAATATTGGGGGACCCCGCGCGCGCTTGCGCTAGCACACACTTCACAGCACATAGCGAAAGACACACACACAGACTGACGCCGTTTCATTGGTCAGTCAGTTTGCGCGGTCGATGCTAACAATAAAGACACTCCATGTGGTGCAGTTAATGTAAGCGTCTACTGTAGATTCGGCACCGCGTCCAACCGGGGCGCACATTTGTCATGGTGGCTGTGGTGGCCGAAGGTACGGCGTGTGTGGGGAGGTGGAGGATCCGGTTGACGGCGAGATGCACCGCATTTGCCGCTCATGTGCGGCCGAAGGCGTAGACTTACTTCCCCACGAGTCTCGAATCTATCCAGGCGCAAAGAGGGTGGTGACCTTCTAGCACCAGGCACGCGGAAGAAACCAACTTGCGTTAAAGCTGCACACGGGTGACAAAACAAACTGCCTACAACTAGGCCACCCACTTCGTCGTATACTCCGAGACGTGTAGAAAACAGTCCAGAATGGAGAAAAGTTACTGGTATATTGTAGTGAGAACTGAAACGCAATATGAAGTGTAATTTCTGTGTTGTCTTCCTTATGGTGGTCACTTCTTCATCCACACAATCGTACGAATGCGGCATGCAGTGATGCCCTGCACATCAAACACTTGGGTGCTTGGAGTCTAAGCTTTCGACGCTGTGCTCGTGTTGCCCAAATATTGGGTTTTCCGGGTGTAAAGCGGTTCACAACCGACTGAGCCTCCCGGTTTACAAAGGTTCATAAACACTAGAGAGGATTAGCTGCGATGTCCTGAACAGCGGTTATAACACTTCGTGACACTACTATGGACCGCAAACCGGGATCACCATTGCAGGAACACGGAGTAAACCGGGATCAGACTGTGGAGCCTGCCGTAGAACACAGCAAAACTGACAGTCCCGTGACTGAACAGCAGCATCTCTCTCGACTGGTGCTATTTGCCAGGCGGGAACCCAGTCACGAAAGGAAGTAACACGATCGGTCTCACCTGTTACCTGTCACGGCCAAGTGTCTTCGATCGCAGTGCAGTTATGCGCGGCAGCAGCGGCAGTAACGGGTGGGTGGACAAGTTGGTGCGTTGACCCTGGGGGCTCGGTGTATGGGACGCACAACGAATGGGTAGTCTTTCTGTGTGTGTTTTTATTATTCCTAACTATGTTCAACCCACGGCAGCACGGCAGGAAAAAACAAGTTTTTTTTTGAAAATTTGAAGTTCGCGCACCACAGACCAAGTGCATTTGTCGGCAGGGTGTAGTTATATGCATATATGTGTCAACGTGCCCGTTGTAAGTATGCCAATGTGCCCGCACAAGTTAATAAAATTATTTGTGCTCGTCTGCTTGGAATACTTGTATAAATTTCTTCAAAAAAAATGTTGTACTTTTTAAGTATTACGCACATACGGGGTGAGATTCAGAGTGAGAACTTGCCAGGCCTGAGAACAATTAACCCGAATTAGGTGCTGCAACATGCTCTCCACAAAAATCTCGTGAGATATCAACATCCTGAATGCTATCAGAACAGGAGTGAGAGCAACGCCGTACACGGTCCGTCACTTGCTCAATGTGAACGAGGAGGGAAGAAGATTAATGAGAACTCTCTGCACTGCTCAGGTAATCCCTGCGGAAGGAGGCAGATCCGAGGAAGCAGCAGTTACACCCACGGCATCTGGGCGGTGCCGAAAGAGGCGGGTTTGCCCCTGACAGTTATTCATTACATTTTTTTTGAAAATTTTGATTGAGTATTCGCCTCCCCAAAGGAGGTGGGCTTCACAGTTCGATGCGATGCGATGCCTTCCTTCATAAAATATGTACTCACTGCTGCCAATGGCGGCAAGCAGCGGTGGCAGTAGTCCTATCGACAGTCTCGTCAACGCACACAACGTTCCACATAACATCCAAAACTGCACCTGAGAGTTTCTCGCACATGAAGGGGAAAGAGTCGCACTCTCAAGGGATGTGCACCTGCCTGCGAAACCGCAGAAAAAATACCCACCGCTCAAACCATTCGAAGACGAAAAAAAAAAAAGCGGGAGCGGCACGTACAAACGAAAGCGTTCGCCTTGTTTCGTACGTCCAGCCACGAAACTTAACATGCCCGTCGCGCGGTCAACGTTACAGACCCATAAAAACAGCACAAAAGGGAAGTCGGCCTTGAGCAGGGACCTCTTGTGTCCTAATCCACGAAAGAAGCGACCGAAAAAAACACGCCACACAGAACCGAAGTATGCTGCTCCAGCTGTGCTGCCCAGCTGGAAGACACACCATGCTACTTGCCGAATTACGCGAAAAACCTACGAAAAATAGTCCACGAGTCACCAGATTCATCCATCTCACTGAACACACCAAGAAAAACGCCGAAAACACTTTTTCAACACTCAAAACCATTGGTCAAACTGAAATCCAACGCTCGTTTGTTTTCTCCACAAAACTAGATGTGGACACGACATCCGAGCGCGTGTTGCACCGGTCTGGTGCCTGCGACAGTAAAGCTAGAACAACTAATTCTTTCGTCCATCTCGTCTCGGGGCCAATATCCGAGAGCATGACTCACCAAACCCGGTGCTTGTGACCAAATACAAGCTGAACAATTAACTACTATCCATCCATCCCACCCTCAAGGCAAAAAAAAAGCCAGAAAAATCGAAAACAGCAGTGGTCGAGAGCCCTCCGTGAGGGAGGGCTGGCTTCTGACCCACACTGATCCTCCTAAAAATATACTCCCCGAGAAAATACAAAATAATCGACCAAAAAGATCACAAGCCCTTGTTATACCATACCCGGGTCACCGGTTTCCCCGCGGAATCCGAAAGGCCCGAAAACTTGGGCTCTAGCGTATCTACCTCGAGAGAATCCCGCTGCGGGAAGAACGCCAGCGCTGGCGACACGGCCGCCAGCAGGCAGGAGGTCACCACCGCCGTCTCGCAAGCCATGCGAAGTCGCGGGCTCGAAGACACCAGCCGCAGGCGCTCCAGGCGCGACATGATCATGGGCGGGAACATCATGACGGGAACGTTCCAGATCACCCGGGCCGCCGCGCACTTCATCAGCCCCATCTTGCCAGCCTGCGTTGTAGGGGTTCCGCAAGGGTGGATCGGAGGGGGGGGGGGTCAGATCTCTTGCCAGGCGAAACAAACCATACGGTGGGGGGGGTGGGATGCCGTACCACCCAAGGAACCCCTCAGCCTCTCTGTATGGGTTGCCGCGTTGTTCACCATCCCCATCTTGGCAGCCCGAAATTTCGGAGCCAGGTATACACAAGAGCAAGGGTTCGTTAACATTGCCGAATATTTGAGCGTGATGCCAGAAGATTTTGCCTGGTCACCGAAATCATCCATTTCAGACCATGACTACAGCTCCGTTTCCGGTTACGAAAACATGTTTTACATATGGGGTGTGGGGGGTCCAGGACAAGGCGTGCGTGTATGGATGGAAACTTCAGCCTCGCTGATGCGCCATCATGTGAGCTTGGTTTGTCGCCTGTCGACCAACACCCGCACGTACACTGTGCTGTTGAACGAGCACAGCGGCATGCCTACCGCGTTTAATTCATCCATACTACTTTCGGTGCACGCGAGCAGCGGCCCTGTGCACACCGCACAACCAGTGGGTTACAATCGCGTCTGAGGCGTGTTCGAGGCACCGCTACAGCAGTTGGGGGTGGGTGGTGGGGGGCGAGACCAAAATAGTGGGGCGAGGCCAAAAACCAGCAAGACCTCTTGAAACCTTCTCACAAGAAGCCGAGGGCAAGGCTACAGCGGTTGAGATTTCATGCGATGGGCATCTTCTGCAGCGCGTCTAGGCTTGGATCCCATCAGTACCAGGGCAAGCCCCGCGCAGCAAAGAGGGTTTCCGGATAAATTTCAAAGTTAAAATGAGGATGTGTCTCGAAGTCTTTAGACCCACGTGCGAGAAAAAGCGATCCTGGTTGCCATACTCGGGTGCATCAAGGAGAACGCGAACAATACGGCGGTACTGTGAAAGCGACTGCATTCCCGTGCATGCACACATCGCGCCCCTCTCCAATCTCAGGCTACAGCACAGGGATATCTCAGAAGGGAGCTGAGCTTCAGCAAGCAAAAAAAAACACTGCTGTTGCTGTAAGGTCCCGACACTGGTACTGGTCATTGATGAATTCTTTTTCCGACAGACCGAGGTACGACAGGAGCAAGACGTTCTGAAGTGCCGGCACTACTTGTACTTACGCACGAAACGATTGGCACAAGTGACTACAACACCTTTCCAGGAAAAATAATGGGACTTCAACGCGAACAGACTTGACGTTCCTCGACTTCACTGAAGAACGATTTCTCGACTTCACTGAAGAACGATATGCATACATCTGTGGTTACATGCTCGTTAATGCAAACCGAGTGGAACATCGGACGGTGAGCGGTAATGTGGCAAACGAGCTTAGCATACTGTACAACAATGCAACCTTTGCAAAGAATTTTCTTCCAAAGGCCACTTCAAACAGCAAATGGAACTTCGACAAAAAATCCGGCATTCCGTGCTCGGATATATAAGAAGGCGGAGAAAAATGTGTGGTACGCATAGATGCGTTGGGTGTGATCAGGAGCCTCGAATGTGACAAGGATACAGCAGTAGTCCCGCGTGGTACACCGCGACAAAAAACCGAACCAGAGGAAAACGGGTTCTGTCCATAGCGAAGACTCAACGTTAACGGGAAGCATTTATCACCCACACAACATCGCGGAGGGAAATGCACCTCTAAGCAAGTGTGCAATAGCGGTCACGCTTGGTATATCTACTGCCGTGTAATGTAGCCTGTGACCCAGTCTGTTCACCGACACGTCTGCCATTGTCGAAAAAGAATCCCAATCGCAACCATGCGTCGTAGCCAGCGTGGGAGATCGGTCAGACCAACCAGGAAGCTTTAGTCGAACCACGGCCACATCTCATCCGGTAATAGGTTTGCAATACATACAACGCTGTGCACGGTTGTCTGCTCTAAGGGCACCCTAAACTCTAAACCCGGGCAAGTTGTGCACACAACCATCTTACACTTCAAAACAGCACTGCGTTGGGAACAACCCAGCAAAAGCCACACCAACAACACCTACCTCGACGCTCTTTCCCAAATCCTTGCCCTCGTCGTCGAACACGTCCACCCCCGTTGTAAGCTCGTTCCGTCTCATCAGCAGCACGTTGCTCGCTCCGGCGCCGGCCACCGCCAGGAACGGCAACGTGGACCGAATGATTGCCGCCGCCGGCCCGCCCGCCCCGCCCGCGCGCGCGGCCACCCTCTTCGTGAGCGCGGTCGAGAGCATGCCTATCGACAGGGACGTGATCACCGCTCCCGCGTAGCCTTCCACGAGCCGCGCCCTGGGCACCGGGTTGGACGCGTTCCGGTTGGCGTAGTTGATGGCTGCGTTGTACGTCTGGTTTAAGAAGTGGATGAAGGCCGTCGCCGGGAAGCTCGAGATAACGGCCGGCGTGACGGTTGCCGTGACGATCACCATGTTCACGGGCACGAACGCCGAGAAGCGGAAGAGAGGGAATATCGGCTCCCCGGTGTCCGGATGGAGGGCGGACTCGAGCACGCGCCGGGCATGCCACAGGTCGGCGTCCGTGGTGCCCTCAGGAGCTTCGCCGATGTCGGCCAGCTTGAGCAGCTTCTCCGCCGACTTGGTGTCCTCGTCCGTGAAGAGCAGCGTGCGCGGGTCGTTGACGCTGTAGAAGTGCAGCATCCGGCCCACGAAGGTTGACATGTCGTAGCGCGGGCCCTCGCGTCGGAAGGGCGGGACCTCCTGCGCGTCTGTGACGGCGCTGCTGAACTCTGCGCCCATGGTGGTGGGTGGGTGTTCTGCTCTGTGTGCGTCGTGTTTGCCTCTGGTGCGCTGCTGCTTCGGCTGCCGTTCTCCTGCGGTTCCCGGCCGCAGTACCGCTGCTGTGGTATGGTGATGATGCCGAAGCTCAGAGCAGATCGGTCCTGGCCGCAAGGCGAGTTGCCCGATTGCTCTCTGCGCTGGAGAGGGTTTCGTCTGCAATCAAGCAAGCGCAGCCGACGACGAGGGTGTGGCGGAGACTGGAGAGCAAGAAGGGAGGGAGCGGCGGAGAGGCTGTGCAGAAGACGCGCTACGGCAGCAGTGCGCGGTGAAACCAAAATTGAAACACGGGGCCCCGATGAGCCTTTGCATTTTGATTCCCCCGCATTTTTTTCGCAGCAGCCAACACAACTGTTCTTGATGCAGGGATAGTGGCAGCATAACCCCACCCACACACCCACGCGCGCCCCTGCAAGAGGAGACGGGGGGAGACGAGCCCAAACAAAGGGGGGAGGTCACCTGAGGTCTGGGGCGAAGGTCTTTAAGATTGAGTGGTGGCGGCGTTGGAAAACGACTGCAGTCGGGTGAATAGCTGGATACCACGGGTCCGTGTGGTGACCGCTGATCCTTGATCCTTTGTCGTGTGTCGCGATCGTTCTTGTTCGGGCATTCGAACGTCTGTGGTCCTCTTGATCGAGGTGCGTGGTGGATAATGCTCAGCAGGTGTTCGCGCAATCCCGAAAATATGCTACGCCCGGCTTGCAATGTTCTGTTTCCTGTCCAGTCACCGACCAACGCTTGATCGACCGCAAAATAGAGCCATGTATTCTGCTGCGTACGGTATGTAGTGTGAGGAGCAAGAATCCTGCGTTTGTAGCCCATGCCACTGTTGCTGTGTATGCTACAGCTAACAGCAGCTCGATCGGCCGTCTGTTCAACTTTGCAATTTTTCAATCTACAAGTGGGAGCCTCGGTCTACGTCTGTGGGGAGTGTTGAGTGGAGGGTGCTTGAGCTTATCGTCAGAGATGCCAACAAAAGGTTCTCAGGACCTTCCCATTTAGACAATTGAGTGAAAAGGCACATGTGTTGCTCCCCTCATGGAAGAATGACAACAAACAGCAGTAGATTGTCCTTTTTGGATTGACCAGAAACTAATGTTTGCATTACAGTTGTCAAGAACACTATGTACTGTAGTGCATAGCTCCATCGGCTACCGCATTTGTTTCTTCCTTGCTAAGAACACAGGCATGCGTTTGTGTCCGTGGGCGGTTGGAAGCGCGCAGCGAGAGGTTTTTATTTCAAACAAGAACCTCGCTTTAGCACTTCATTCAAATCCCAGCTTTGTTCGGCACTGCTGCAGCAGACGCATTATTTGCATGTCGAGGCTGGGTCGCTAGTGGTATGACATTGTTCACAGTTGTTCCAGATTCCCCCGCGGGAAAGCATGGAACAACGGTCTGTCCACTCTGTACAGGATCCCATGGCATTGGCTGAATGGTTCAGTTGGTAAGCTCGTTAAATCCCCAAGCTGTAGGGTGTGGTTTCCAATGTCTCCAGAATGAAAAAATCTGGCCTTTGTACTCCTGACAGCACACAGCGAGGAGGTTAGCTGAAACGGTCTCGCGTTAGCACTTGAAGTCAAAGACCGCAGGAAGAAAGGTGGAGAGTTCCTTCTGTGTGACCCTATCTGCTGCGTGAACGTGTACCGGAGGGTGTATGGCGGGCAATAGACACGACCAGTGGCGGGTGCGGCGACCGAACACCAGGTCTAATCGCCAAACTGTACCACACGCAGGTGCCCATGGCTGATACGGATCGCGGCGCACTGAAGGCCTTATTTCGTTCGACCGGCGGGGTCAGATGGAAGAGGAAGGACAACTGGGACACAGCCGCTGACCTACATGTCGCAACGTGGTTAGGAGTCGAAGTCAACCACCAGGGCCGCGTGATGAAGCTTTCCCTCGATAAGAACAATCTCCAAGGTATTATTTCCGCCTCTCTTTGCTGCTGATAGAGATAGATGTGCATGGCCACCCCTAACTATTCGTGATCGGTGAGTGATCCTCTTAAAACGTGTCGGCAGATGATTTTGCCAGCCATATTTTTTGTTCATGGCATGCATTCCATTTCCCAACTCTTTGGGGTGCTCCGTACGACTTCACAATTCCTTGCCAAACGTACCCGTACCTTACCTAATAGCATTGACAGTTTGGTCCCCAGAAAATGTTATGCAACCTCAGCACAATCACAACCAGTTGCATGACGCCTTGCCCACGCGTTGGGGGGAAACCTCTTCTAGAGCACGGAACAAAAATCCACAACAACGATGATACCCCGTTTACTCCTCCGTGTATCTTGCGCAGGGCCTATGCCTGCGGAACTGGGAGCTCTTGCCGAGCTGAAGGAGCTTTGGCTACATATCAACAAACTTGAAGGTGAGACGCGTGCACCTAATCAGTTTTTCTACACTTGTAAAAAGGTTGCTTCACGGGGAGATAGAAGGCTAGTTTTCCTGCGCGTGGGCAATTAGGCCATCACATGCTCTATCTAGAAGTACGGCGAGACAACCTTATTGTAGATGCCAAAGGAATCTATTTTTGCAGTTCCCCGTTAATTTCATTTGTTCTTCATTTCTGCAGGTCCCATCACGCCGGAACTAGGAAGCCTCGCGACCCTCAGGCTCCTCTACCTCGGGGGAAATCAACTTTGCGGTGAATACGCGACATGTGCATGTTGAACGTTTCCTTGATCGAATTTCGGGATGAACGCTTTGGCGGATTTCATGACGGAGTCGGCACGAGTCCTCTCAAGTTCTGTCTGTTCACCGTGCGCACAGGATGTATTCCCGGGGCGCTAGGATTTCTCAGCAACTTGGAAGTTCTTCGACTCGAAAACAACCAGCTTTCCGGTGAGAGGCGTTAGCAACCGTTTCGTGTTGTCCGACATGTAGAGAGAGGCCCCGTTGGCTTCTAGAAGAGCAATGACCTACCCACCCACCGGCGTGTGGGGAGTGGGATCACAGGCTCTGGGGGTATGCGCGTTGATGAACATGCTTGCTTCGTGTCTCCGTTGGGTGTGTGTTTGCCCCTTGGCCGCAGGTCCCATTCCGCAGGAGCTGGGGAAACTCACAGCTTTGCGCTACCTCAACCTGTCAGAAAACAAGCTCAGCGGTGAGTTCCACAGCTAAAAATGGGTCTGAATCTCAACAATTGTTGTTGTTGCTCGCACATGCGTCCCGTCAACGTGGGTGAGCAACATGTTGAAGAAAACAATTTAGTTGAGATACATCATGAACTTCTACTACAGAGAGATACAAAGCACCGGTGCATGTAGTGACTACTGCTTCGCTGGTTCTTGTGGAGGGCAAGGGGCTCCAGTCCTCACAAGTCCGGCGGGATTGGAAATGCAGCTAACGAAGAAATAGGAACTAAGTGATGTGCGTATGTGTGTATGCGGCAAGAGTAGCCGATTGGCCGCGGAGCATTCCATAGAAGTCGGACTACACATCGCCCTATGCTCTCATGGCACGCTGGTTGAGATGTGCCAGCGCTTCGGAGACACGCCCCGTGCCAGCTGCGAGCGAGCGAACGAGCAACGCTCTTCAGATGCCTTGAAACAATAACGAATCCGCCATGAACCTCTCCAACACGTGGGTGGGCAAGTGTTGTACAGAACACCAAAACGCGAGTGTTGTTTGCGAGGGACCGCGTCTCCAGCTTGGTCCATCGAAGCGAATTTCACAACGTGAATGAGACTTTTAGAACATGAGACCCTCCTACTCGCCAACGCAAGATCCACATTCTAGCTCTTTTTCGTTGTTTTTCTTTTGTGTTGGCTCGTGCAGGGCCCATCCCCAAGGAGCTGGGAGCCCTCACCGACCTGAAGAGGATTGTGCTGTTCGATAACCAACTTACAGGTAAGACGCGGTGGATTTGAAAGAGAAGATGTATGTTCGTTTTAGCGGTTGGTTTTAGTCGTGTCATGTACTACCGTCGCCCATTGTCTACCTACCCTGTCGTGTACCAAGCTTTCCAGTATGTGTTGCACTCATTTCCAGCACTGTTGCGAGCCACCTTAGATACAAGAACTTGTTCTGAAGATTACATGTAAGCCATCTTTGAACGCGTGAGAGCCGTATTGGGTCTTTCTGACTGGTATGTATTAAGCGGCGCATCTTGTAGGAAAACGGCACGGGGGGTTGATGATGCCTCCAGGCGTTCCTATCGTGTGCCATAAACGAAACAGCGCTGGCAAGCAGGATCTTCTTCTTCGGCAAGGCTCGTCCGCCTATTTTCGCGCCTAGTAGGCTCTACTCTCACTTGACTCTGGGTTCAACAACTGCGTGTGACATGTGGCTCATGCAGCGTAGTTGCCATGGGTAGGATGAATGAAAACGTTTTCTCAGCTTGCCCGGGTGCAGAGCCACAAACGACCAACGTTAGCGGCCCCGCTTATGCTGGAACCATGATCAACGTCGAAATAAAGCACACAAATTTGTTTTGATACAGGAGAAGCCAATGTTGTCCTCACAAGGCGGCATACATCTATAGTTCGTCTGCTCCGGGGTATGATGCGATCACGTGTGTTTTATCCGCTAGGCTATCTGCTTCCTGAGCCCGTGTTCTGTACGAGCTTACACACTGGGGCAACACCGTATGCCCGTCTTCCCTGTGGTTGTCTGCGCTTGTATCTGTCTGGTACTCTGTTCGCTCGACAGCTCTCTGGGACCACACCCACTACCTACAAGATATCGTCCACGAAGAAGGAGCTCACGGGATGTCAGGTGTGACTGGAAACGGCGCTGTACGCACAGCATTGCCCTTGCCACAGTAGGTCTCACTGTAATAGGTGTGCATGTGTATGCCTCACTGGAAGCGGTGAACGTCGCAATCACTGTCCTCGATGCCAGCAGCAGTGCCAGGCTAGAGTCTTGTTCCGGAATACTTATGGTGGAGAGTATTTACTGGGTGGACAAGCAAGCAATATCTGTTGGGTGCAATCCAAGGCAACACCTGATTGGTCGTGCTCCATCATGAGTGATTCTTCTCGCACCACAACCGACGTCGAACATCCACTCGACATGTTGCAGTCTTGTGTGTTAGGGTGCACCATTACTGTTCGCCCCACCCGTAACGTAGATACTCTGTCCTCACGTTTCAACTTCGTCGCTCGTTGTGCGCCCACCACGAGAGAACGCTGAGCAGGCTGCACTGGAATTTTTCAGCGCCAGATGTTGGGGCTTACTGGAGCATCTACACTTTAGCCTCGTGATAACCATCCTCCCAAAATGTTCGTACTCTACATGGCTGGGTAGGTGGGCGGATTCCTAGCCAGCTGTGCCGATTGCTTGACGTCCTGGATCGTGCAGAGGGAGGGGTCCTCAGTCTCGAGGATAACCCATGGGCTGAGCCTCCAGAGTCCATCGTGGCCAAAGGCCCAAAGAGTATCAGAGGGTATTTTGAAGATCTCTATGCCGAACCCTGTCGGGTCGAGCGCAGCAGCGTCAAGGTCATTCTTGTGGGACAGGAAGGTGCAGGGAAGACAAGGTTGGTGGAGAGGTCCTGCTCGTGGCCACTACTGGATTGGCATCAAATTGTGGTTTGCTAGCATTTCTCGACAGAACAGTACATGTGGCGGTAGTGGTGAGAAAAGTTTCAATACGCTCGCATGATAATGTCGCATGGACGGATTTTGAACAGGATGGGGGGTGGCCAACGTGAAATCCCCTTGTTTGAACTCTCTGCTCCAGACGCAGATACTTCTGTTGGTTTGTGTGGCTTGCGCTTTTTCTACCCAACTAGTTTTGCTCCTCGGTGGGATTTTATTGTTGCAAGCGGAATATATCAAACCAAAGCTACAGCATTGCTCCGGCCTCGCTTTAGCCTGCGTTTGGCTTTAGGCGCTCGAGGACCAACCATGGCGGCCTCAAGCTTTTCGCGCCGATCGACCCCTTTGCGAAATGATCTCCGTCATTCTCATAACGGAAGAAACTCGTACCTACTTGTATCCCGTGCAGTCTGCGCCAGAGCATGAAGACCAATGAAGCAACTCCTACGGGCGATTGGAAGGAGGAGAGCACAGTTTTCGCTGACGTGGAGCCCATGGAACTCGAAGGTTCATCCGTTCGAGTGTACGATTGCGCTGGACAGGTGACAGGTGTTGTTCGAACGATTTACTTACCGCTCAATTGATACGTTGATTGAGGTCGTTGCCCAGGCCCTGGTTCTGCGTCCGGCATCATACATAGAATACATGCCTTGCTTCACCTTCGGCTTGTAGTGCGTAACAAAATAGGTGGTGTAATACATGGTTGCGGATGCGTGAAGTTTCGTGTTAATCTCGGCGCTTGCGCGAAACATGTTTTTGGTGTTTGCCCCCTATACGGGAAAAAACCGAAGAGCCGCCGACGCCGTATTGACGGGTTACTGTCTTCGTTCAGCCCTAACAAAATACCCAATCTCGCTCCTTTCGACGCCCCCCTGAGAGTGCCCATATTACCCGGTGGGAAGCCCTTGCGCACTTTCGTGTAGGAGTGCTGGCAGCTCTGATTCCGTATTGTGTTGTGGTCTGCACCATAAGGTACATGGACAACCCCTGAGTTGAAGTGGCCACAGGGAAATGGGGCACCATTTGTTGGGAAAAAATTCAGCGTTCGTGTCCTGTATTTCCTCCTTACGTTATTTTGGGGTTAAGATGTGATGTTTAATAGCATTTTCGCACGTTGCCTTCAAAGAAGAATTTGGAATGGCGTTTAGGTGTGAAGCACAGGGACAGGGTGGTGCACCTAAGCATGTCCCCCGAGTATTGTATCTTTCGCGCCGAATGGGTCGGGGTCATTTGTACACCCCAGATGTTTGGGGTGGGGGCGTCGCAGCATCCTGCTCACGAACTACGGTAGCTAGGATTTTCGAGCGCCTTAGAATGTATCAATGCGAATCGTGTACAATTGTCGTGCTATTTACACGCCATGGAATGATATTCAACCCACAACGAACCTACCTATTACACGCTGCTGCAGGCCGCCTACACCGGGTTGCTGCAAATGTTCCTGACGCCACGGTCGGTCTGCGTGCTAGTGTGCAACGCGGAGGCTTTCGGACAGCAGCGAGCTAACGACACCGGTGGTCAGATTATGGAAGACTGTCGCAAGCTGGAAGAACTGCGAGTCTGCGAGTGGCTACGATCTATCGCTCGCCGCGTTCCCGACAACGACGCCATCCTGGTGGCCACGAAGTGTGATCTGGTGGGCGGGAACGCCGCGGAGGTTGGCAGAAGAATGGAGCAGGCCTGTCGAATGTGGCTTGCGAGCTGGGTACGCAATGGTATGCAGCCCGTTCGTTTGGAGCACGGTGTTGGCCTCACGAGCTGCCGGCCTACAAGATTTGGTGAGCATGGCGAGAGGGGCACTGCCAACCACACGGTAGAGGGCGGCTGGGTGTGCGACTGGCGAGGCCATATTGGTGATGACTCCGCGCCCGGTTTGCTCCACCGGCTCGTCAACAAGCCCGACGGGGGTGGTCTTCGAGGAACGCAGTTGGTGCTTCCTCGCAGCTGGGACATTGCCCTCACAGTCCTTGAAGCTCTGGAGAGTGGACGGTGAGCTCGATTCGGTTCGGTTGTTGGGCCCCACAGCCATCGTCAAGGAGTTTTTTGTCACACCCAGGGATCCTCCGGAATAAGAACTTTGGACGCGTTGCTCCCTCGCCGGAGGGACGTTTCGAAATCTGCGCGAGTCTTCTTAAGCCATCGTCCGCGTTAAAATTCCTTCCCCGTCGTTCGAGTGACACGTTGAACGAAAACAGAACATTAGTGGGCTGTGAGACGTTCCTACGCATTCAATCATTTTCTGTTGCTCGCCGCGGCGAAACGCTGCATTCAGCTGCTCCCGTTCGTGGAGGTTGCATGCATTTTAATGATCTTCTCTTGGCAAAGAACTCGCAAAGGCGTAACGAAATCTGCAGCCAGATATACCACCGATTACATCACAGAGGGAGCGGAATGACCTCTAGGCCCTCGATGACGAAGTCAAAATCTTTGACTTTCGTGGGTTCTGCGTGCGAAGCTGTCGACAAGCGTGAGACTCGTGGAGTGTCTGCAATAGCACCATATATCGGCCAGTCCCGCAATATCACCATTGTTTTCAAGGTGGCAACTTGTTTTGACCTCTGTCCAAGGCGATGAAACGATTTCACGTGGCTACAAGCCGACCCAACGAAAGGTTGATGTAAAACACAACCATTTTGGCAAACGGTGTATCGTGAACTCCTAAAAACAGATAAACATTTCAAAATTTCAGAAATACAGAACGTGGGGTAGGGCGGGAGTGCCTACCAAGCAAATAGAGCTGGATCAAACGCAGAATGTACTACCGCGTCTGGGGTTGGGAACAGCGGGAGTTTGCAGCGACGTGCCCCATGTCCCCCACTTCTTGCCGAACCCAGACCGTCAATTGTAGGGGCTTGGTGTCCTGAGTTTCTCCTGGGGAACTTGGTGAAGGCTCATTGCGTTGTGGCCGGCCTTTCATACTTGAGTAGCTCCTACCGTCACGGGGTATGGGCGTAGTTGTAGGCTCCGATAACTTGCACGGCCAGGAAATGTGACGGTGACGCTGCTGGTATACCTTCAACGTTCTTGCCCAGAGATCCCGTGGAGGTTGTAATGCACAAGTTGGGCAACGTTGGCCGAGGAGACGCTGCGGAAATGACAGCAGCCAATGCAGGAGGGTATCAGGGGATCACGGTTGAAGACCTCATCGCCAAGTGGCTGGAGACAGTTGATGAGCTTGCGAGAAGAGAGATCACGGTCACGAGCGCCAAGAACGCGTTAGAAGGAGCTCTTTCGATCAGGTACACGTTACTATCCATGCTGTGCAGAAGTAGCTTAACCGCCGCTGCAATTTAATGTACGTGTGATCATCAACAAACGTAAACAGTTCATGTGTCCAAGGTGCTTTGGCTCCAATAGGAAATGACGTGGCGACGCCCATTCTCTGACTCCACAGTGTGGATGAGTTTCTCCTAGGTGGATTGTGAACTCGCCTGTTTGACCATGCAACGTTGCGCAAACAGGGAGTTCGATGGATCCCTCGTTCGCCATGAGACATTTGTCTTTCTGGACGTCGTTTGGCTAGCCAGAATCCTCAAGCCCTTGCTCAACCACAAGGATGAAGAGAGCTTCGACGGGCTTGTGAATCTTGGGGACACAGGCGACACGCGTGTCACCCTCGAGGACCCGTTAGACATCGTTTCGTGGTTCAGGCTCAAGAACGAGGGAGTGATAGAACCCAGATTGGCGTGTGCATTGTGGCCTGATGGCCTGTCCGAGCACGTTCTCCCCACCCTTGCATCATTGGGTCTCACGTTCCCGCTCGAAAACGACCCTGCTGAGGGCCTGGTAGTCCTGCTAAGGCAAAAACCAGACTGCCCCGAGAGTGTGGGCAAAGTGATCGACACATTCTGCTCGGAACACATCCCGGCATTCAGCGCAAGTTGGAAGATCTTCCTTGGTGTACCGCCTGGTGCAATAGAAAAGGTGTTGACGCGGTGCTGCAATCTCGGTGGCGTGCGAACATTCTGGCGGTCTGCGGTGTTTGTGCATGGCGGTCACGGCTACCAAGGCGGGCACGAGATGTTTGCCGTGGTCTTGGAGTACTCATCCGCCAACAACGAACTTACTGCCAAGATTTTCGGCGACATCAGCACTCCAACTCCGTGGATGGCACTTTCATATGTCATGTCTGCTGTGAGTTTGATGATGCGGGATTTCCCAGGTCTACGCTCGAGAGGCTCTCTGAAATGTCCTCAGCATGGCGACGCGATGCTGTTGGCGACCAAGGTGAGCCATAAACATTCACATAGCCTAGAGATCTATGGGTGCCCGAGAAAGAGATTCACTTGTGATCGCTTGAAGCACACGGTGAAGGGCACAATCTGCATTTTGTCGTCATGTGAACACTGATGTAAATTTGTTCGTGTAATCAGTGCTTGCATCTTGTACTTTATGTTTCATCTTAACTCCGTAACATGTTCTGATGGGAATAGCAGTATAACGTGAGAGCGGATCATTTCTATGGTGTTCTTCTCGTGGGAGGCCCTTGAGGCGCAACGCCTTCGAGAAGTGGGAGCATTGCAGACTACTAACAGCTCCATCGAGGTGCTGTCGCAGCTTATGTGCTGTCAGGCTATATCTCTGTGTCGGTGGTTTACCCGCCGAGGTTCTACACGTTGCATCGCCGGTGGTATTTGCTGGAACTGGATATCGTTGCCGTTCGAATGTTTTGGAGCGGCGGTTATGGTACTGCTAGGGTCGCGTGGCAGCCGGATTTGTGAGTCTTCTGCTCAATTCGTGTTGCATTTTGGCTATGTACGCAGCGAGCATGGACCTAGCGGTCTGTGCTCCAATACCCGAGTCTAGATATGAGTCAACTGGCCAGCAAATTCGCCTACACTCTCATGAACGGGGTGTCACTTGTCAGGTACCTCGCCCTGGAGACAAGTTTCTGGAAGGCAGTAGATGCCCACAATGCAGCGCCGACACCAGAGGACTCGGGGCTGCAGCTATCGATCTCGTGCGGATGGTCGACATCCGATTAGACCGAGGTATGTACGACCAGGGGGCAGGTTGGAGGGTCGTAAATGTTCGAGTGAATACACACGTGTGCGACCTTGTTCTAAACCATATCCAACATAACATTTTTCGCATCCCTTTTTACGATACGTTCGACTTGTGCGATCGCCCCGATGCCATTTGGTTCCGGCAGTCTCTGACACCCCCCCGTGCGGGAGCTCCGATGTGTGCGATGCTGCACCCTGTTTTTTTGCACACGCCTTGCGTAATAGAAGTATGATCTAGGCGATGCTGAACACGTCACAGCAGGCGTACAGGTACGTTTATACTGCTGGAGAACACCTGCCGTGGTCCATACAAAAGCAACATACGAACACACAGAGATGAGAGATCACGGCAAGTTTGTCCCTTGCGTGCCGTGACATGCAGCGAGTGGCGACTAGAGAGGTGGATTGCGAGCGTGGTTGTGACAGTGTGCATAGAACGAAGAACGACGCGGTGGTCCGCTGAATATGGTTGTGAATATGGTCACCTTTCCGCTTTGACTCGATAGGATTTAGGTTGCGGTCAAGCGTATTTTTCGTTCGTGTGCTTAGTTTAGTGACCACCTTCCGTCCACCGATCCCATGAACCACGTTTTCATTTGGACGTGACCGCCGCCACTCTGTAGCACACACCGTAGTGGATCCCTGCCAGCGAACCACAAGATTGGTTTCAATCCTGTTCGAAAATTCCGACCCCTGTGTACAAACAGGTTTACAATGTCATGCATTATGTTTTATGTGCGCGACCCGGTGCAGTTGCTCCACCCTGTGCTCTCGCTTGCACATTTATGACACAGGTTGCTTGCGTGTGTCACTTGAACGAATTTGACGTCAGGGTATGATGGTGTTCATCGGTGAGCCCTGCGTCTCCTGTGTGCCAGCCAGTTGCCCTACTGAAAGGGTCGAAAATAACAATGAAATGAACACACAAGATTTCGTGCTGTTGGATAATCTGCGCCCTGGTGGGGTCGTCATCGAGGCCGACTGTCGCCAATACGAGCGTGGAAGGCTGAAACACTGCATTCGTATGCGTATCGTCAGACCCTTGCCGTTCACACAGTTCGCCACGACGCATTGGGCTGCCAAATTGCTGGCATCAGGGCACGAGCATGTACAGCAACCTTATTGAGTGCTGAGTGACTCCGTCGCCTGTATTGTTTACGCAGACGAGATTTTCCACGAGGTGAAGGAGAGGTTCGTCGACCTGGAGGGTCGGTACTCCTTCTCCAGCCCTGCGGTGAGAATTTTTGCATGTCCTCGGTTGTGCAGATGCTTGCATTGTCGAAAAACATTGGAATTTTATTTCCGCGGTTTATTTCTGAATTTTCCGGTAAAGGAAACCGGTTGAGAAATTCTGTTGGTAAGCTTTTGCCGTGTGTACCGTAGGGAGCGAGTCCACCCGCGGTGTCCTAGGCGTACGTTCCTTGATGGCGTTGTGTGTATCGTTAAACGTTAAAAGAGGTTCGTTTTCCCGTTGGTCGCGCCAAATGGCGGGCGATTGACTGGATAGGGTCCACCACGATGGTGGCAACTGACGAACGTGGACTTCAGATTTTGACGAATGTATTTCCATAGAACGTTCGCCGAATTTCCATCCGAAGCCCACGCACCCTTCACCCACCTACGCATTGTCCGCAGACGATGGGTGGTCCTTCAGCGAGATTTTATTTGAGGTTGGTGTCTACCTTGTTCTTGCGTAGGGTGTACTTGCGTAGGGTGGGCAGGAACAAATCAATACATAGCACAGGAAACGATAGGGGCCATCACTTGGTTTTTCCCTTGTCTGAGTCTTCGCCGGGAAAGAACGAGCATGGTTATGTCTGCGCAAAAGTTCGACACACAAGTACTGCCCTCGGTGCCACGGCAGGTAGGAACGGCAGTATGACACAGAGCTATGCGACGTGCTTTCTAGGCCCCTCTTCGTCAACGGGTTACCTACAGCAGTAAACATAACGTTTGCATGACCTAGTACACACACCAACACCACTATCCGGTCCTCTCCTGGCCTGTCTCCACTTTTTTGAAGTATAGCGTGGTGCTTTTGTTGGAGGCGAAGATACTCTAGACTTCACTCGAGTTAGCAGCACCTCTACTATGTTTTGCCATTCTGTGCCTGTCCCTGTGCCCTTTTTGTCTCAGGGTAGCTCCAAGGGGGAGAACTTGTTGATTCAAAAGATCGATGGCGTGGCGATAGCCGTACACGGAGGGTTCAACGAGATGAAGGGAGAAGCTAACGGTATTAGGGCCGGGTTGGGAGACGTGAAGGGCGAGATAAGGGGAGGCTTTCACGAGATGAAGGAGGGGTTGCGTGACGTTCAGGTAGAGGTGAGGGGGGGTTTCGAAGACACCAAGGCCGAATTGGGTGACGTGAAGGGCGAATTAAAAGGAGGGGTTGTGGAGATGAAGGCCGGCTTGCGTCATGTTGAGGACGAGGTGAAGGGAGGGTTGGGCATGTTGAAAGGAAGGCTGGAGAACGTGTTCAAGAACACCCAGGAAATCCTTATGCGCCTCAAGAACTTGCAGGCCCCGAACTACCTATACCCTCGCCTTGTGGCAGTGGAGGAAGTTGCATCTGGTAGCACGCCGTCGAGGGCTCATGGGATGAAGAGGGTGCTGAGCAAGCTTCGTGGCGTAGGGAAGAAGGAGATGGTGCTGCACTTCTTATGCCCGGTCGACATGACCAAGGTGCCGTGCGGCTACGGTGGTGAAGGCTATCGGTTTCGGGAGACGCGTGGCTGGGTCAAGAAAATATCGCCTGTGCTGCAGGTAAGACAAGGGTGTCAGAAGTAGCCGGTCGGAGTCGTCATATGCTTCCGATTCCTCCCGTTCTTAGCCGAGGTCGCACTCCAAAAAGGATTTTGTCCCCAGCAATACCTTCCAAATTGTGTTGTTTTTGGGCCTTGTTACAGACCTACACAGCTGTTCACTTTTTAAAACCGTGGACCTACGCACAGAGCCCAGAAACGTACGCAGCCATTCAGTTGTCAAACCGTGGACCTACACATTGAGCCGGAATTAATCAATGTATCCATTTCCACGTCAATAAGCAATTTTCAACATCGGGCAGACGATATCGGCAACGGGTTGTACGTGTGATTGCTTGAAACGAGAGAAATGATGAACTGTGGTGGATTTCTGTGCCGTCCGTTCTTGTGTTTGTTCTCTCCCAAGGTGGCCGTGGTGACCGCGAAGGTGGCGCTGAACGCAACGGCAGGACTGAACGTGAACATCTCGGAATTCCTGAAGGATGTGAAGGACGGGTTGGCCGATGAGCTGGTTGACCGGTCTCTCGACGAGGACGCGCTACTTCGTGTTGTGTCGGGTGAGGAGGATGTCGATGCCGACATGCAAAATGATACAAGGGCCTCGTATGAAGCACTGAAGAAGCTCATGGACAAGGAGCAGGTTGGCAGGCTTAAGAACGCCAGGGATGGCGATGGCTACATAGACTTCAGGGACAAAATGAAGCGTGTTCCGGACGGAAGGGGGGGGATGGTGTGGGTTCGAAATGAAAACGTTCAAAGGTGGTTGGACTCACATTCGAACACCGCCCCATCGAGGTAGATGCCGGAGTATTGGAATATGCAGCAATATGCACAGCTCACCACGCACTGTGTAGATAAGCCGTTTTGCTTTGAAATCTGGTGAGAATGAAGGGTACGGGCGAGTTCGCCGTGAAGTAGTGGTTGGACCCAAAGAGAGAGGAAGTGGTGGAGGCCCCGGCCTTAATTTTACTGTCAAAGAGCAAGGAAAGCCGAAGCGTGAAGAATGAAATGTATCCTGACGTTCTCATGGAGCGGCAGAAATTGCTGCCATTAGAGGCCACCTCGTTGTCCTCACCAGGTACTAGTCATCGATTTCATTTCTTGTCCGCTTTTCGGCTCAAGGCATGCGTAGGTATTTGTATGTGTTGTTTTTTTGTTCTGCGCGATGTGGATGTTGTGACCGAATTGGAAGGTACGAGTCTGCACGTGCCGCCCGTGATTTACAATTTATGGCTGGATTTTACGCGGATATTGCCCTCCCCCCATTCAACAGAGAAATTTCTGGTTTTCGGGACTCCAACAGGTCGTATTCACCGTACGGGACCATTCTGAATTCGCGGGTTCCGAGGAGATTGGGTGCTGCATGGACATGGTTCCCGCACGGATAGGGTCGAGGATCGCTTGTTCGTGAGTATCTTCGGGGAGCAGTTGGCTCTACCATATTTTCTGTGCGTTTTTTTTCTTGTCTCTTCCGTTTTGCCTTGGCGTACTGTACTGCTGTAGTGTTCTTCGATAGTTTTTCTCCTTCCCGAGCGGTGGGGAAACGTCTAGGTCTTGGACTGGGAAACTTCGCCACGACGGAAAAAGAGGGGGTACACGAAACAGCCAGACATTCATTCGTGTTGAATCGACAATACCCAAGCCGTAGCGTACGTCCCACGGTTCGCACGTCTGAATCAGCCGAGGTGCCCGAAGCTCCCTGTCCCTTTCGGATGCGCTGCGTTCGTGCCGAGCACCTCGCATCCTGCACCGCACCCAGCACTGCTCCGTCACTGGACATGTGCATGCCACAATGCGGAGGGATTCAACCCCGTTTTTCAACTTACAACGAGGCGCTCGCGCGAGCACATTCCTTTCTCCTACCTGTGACCGCATACACACACATATGTAGCGAGGAGAGAGCAGCTTCATAAGAAGTGGGTGAGAAATAGCAGCCGGTGCACGATGGAGTGACGGCAGTGATGGGAGGCTACGTTTATGTTCCTATTTTCGAGGGACCTCGCAGATGGCAATCTCAAATTTGTGGTGGTTCCTCCGCACCACCAGTCGCCGCATCGCTCATGCGCCGGGGGACGGGATACAGACGATACAGAGCAGAGGTCTGGGTTCAAAAGGTCTTTGAGTGATGGCGTTGGAAAGGAGAGAAGTGGAGGCTGGATTGCAAACCCGTTGCCCGTGTGCAGCGAGGTGGTTGGCGTACTGCCAACTGCTACTGCTGCTGTAAGTCTGTATCATAATTCCTTTCTCTTGTGGTGAGCGCTGGTGCATTCCTCTGCAGTCTAGACTAGTCTATATCGGCCACAGCAGCTATCGGTGTGAGAATTGCCATATCTAGTACCGTAAAAGCTGGTTCACGGACATGAACCCAAATTTATTCAACCACCGCTCGCTGCCAGACGAATATGTACACAAAATTGACACATCTTGTATCAAAGTGACCAAGGGAACAAATCACCGTGGCCGGAATTTCAATCAGAGTCGTGGCCACAACGCAATGGGCATGAAAGTGTCTCGGTCAACCAGAAGCCTCAAACATGTTATAAAACTAACAGTGCATGCAACCCCGCACTTCCCACCTCTTTCTAACGCAGTTTTGCAAAGAAAGAAATTCCCATACTCCAGGGAACCAAAAAATAAAATAAAATAGAAAACGATCATCGTGGAAGCGATTACGCCCAAAAATTAATTGTGGTTCGCCGGCCGAGATTTGGCGTCGTCGAGTTTCCACGGACGGATGGTATACTGGGATATATACGCAGAGAGTCTCGTGTTGGTTTACTTCGAATATATCGAAGGAAATGTTGAATCATCCTCAGATTTTGATAGCATGGTGCAACAAAGTTGGGCAAACCATAACAAAAAATATGAGACGATGTTTGTAATGCTGACCGGCGTATTGGGGTCCCTGGTGTCGAACTCCCGAAAAACAGTTCCAAATATATGAACACCACTTGTTTTTTTTTTTCCGCCGTGCGATAATTCAATGATCCTTTTCCAGAAAGTTTGTAGCACCACTTGTAAAACTGGCGCAGTACGGGGCTTTGCAGTGAAAAAGCCCCCCCCGCGGACCTGATTCTTTGCTAATATCAAGTAGTTTGGGGGAAAATCAGGATGGCGAATACTTCATGACACAAAAGCAGAAAACTTCACGCCATTGGTAGGAGTTAGACTTTGAAACTTGCGCACATGTACATTGGGTTGGTGCGAAACGCTGTGCGGTGGGGCCTTTCGTACTTTCTCAATGGTCGCCGGTTATTCGGGGTCCCAGGAGCAGCATGTGACCCCGAACCCCCCGAAAACTCTAGGACCCCGGATATCCGGCGACAGGGGAAAAAAAATAAGAAAGGCCCATCCACACAGCGTTTCGTACTAACCCAATGTACATGTGTGCAAAGTTTCAAAGTCTAACTCCTAAAAACCGCGTGAATTTTTATGTTGAGTGTTCTTGTATCCATTTCCTTGAACCAGCTTGTACAGCTCCGCCCATTAGTTGGCACTGCAGTCTGTTCAATTTTTCAAGAAGGTTTGAACCTTCCGCCCTCATCCGCGAGAGTTCGCCCCAGAAAAAAACTTGTCTCTCCCACAGCTTGTTGCAATTCCAGCAGTTTCTTCTCGCCTGTGCAACCGACATTTTAATCCAGCGGCGTTCGTTGTTAGCCATGAGATGTTCACGTCTCCATCCAACCTCTGCTGGCTGGCGATTTGGACTCGGTACACTTGCATCGGGGAGGCGGCAGGCTTGCCTGTCCGATCTGCAGGAAACCACCTGAATCGCTGATCGCCAACTGCGTTGTGCAGGTTCCCCGGGCGATGGCTTTAACGGATCGTGATGTACTCCTTGTTTCGTTCGACCGGCGGGGATTGCTGGGAGAGGAGAGACAACTGGGACACAGCCGCTGAGCTAGAAACATGGTTTCGCGTCGAAGCCAACAACGAGGGCCGCGTCGAAAAGCTCTGCCTCAACAACAACAACCTCCGAGGTATTTCTCGGCCTGTGCTGCCGGCATGTTCTTCGCCAACAGCCAATAGTCCATCGATAAAGTGTAGGGACAAATGTGCTTCATCAACCCAACAAATCGAACCGAGCGGGACCCGTTCAATTTGTTCATTGAATTCGTAACGGGCCCGTCAGAATATTCCGTTATGGGATGATGCTGGCACTATTTTCATTGGTGGGATTGCACACTCGCTGCATGCAGCGTCCTGGTCTCGGAACCTTTTTTTTCTTGTCGAAATTTTTTGGTGTTGACGCCCGCAGGTGACGTGAAAAAAATAGAATCGTGACATTGTGATGAGGAAAAACGGAATTCGGCACAAAACCGCTGTGAGAATCCCGGTTGCAGTACGAACGGAAGGATGGTGAAAGTTTGACTGAATGAAGACGTTGTTATGAACAGAGAGTGAGAGCTGACTCGGTCCACCGGGGGCATGGGATGCCGACACCTCCCAATCAATGGTATGACATATGACATCTAACAGCCCCCCTACTTGGTGCTAGATACGACAATAGGGACTTGTTGGGAATGTTTCGCTCAAAATAACGTGAATAACTCGAATCACATCGTCCGAAATCGATCGAATGTTCAGGTTGAAGTTGTAAGTCCTCCATATGATGAAAGGAAGAATCCACAGCCTCGAACGCGTAGTCTTTTCTGTGAGGTGATTTATATTTTCTACAAACCACAGCCAGCCCCAATATCGAGGGGAGAGAGAGCAGTTCACACAAAACCGTTACGAAAATATAAAACAACAACGGCTGTGGTTGTTGTTCTTGTCCAAACAGTGAAGCGCTGCATTCCCTCGATTCTAGCTTGCAAAACAGTAGAGCAGTGGCCATACCATCATGGTGTGTCAAAATCCGGTGAGGAGAATTGCAGTTTTGCGAGCTTCGGAGCACGACACGGGGTTGGTGGTTAGAAAAAGGTCGAAAGCGGCGAACAGAAATGCGCCGCCGCTTGGTGCTCGAACGGCATTGCTCTTGATTTCCACTCAAATCTCCTACCCAGAGCCCCAAGTCCCGTCGTTGAGCGCTTCCCGCATATCGCCATCTGACACTAGTTGTTGACATCGCACCCTGTTGGATCCCAGCGACAGAGCCTTCCTCCGGCCGGATAGATGCGAACAAACAAAGATTGTGAAGAGTGAATGCAGCGCCAGCAGAAGCACTGGGTACAGAGGCCGAAGGCAGCGGCAACGGTCATAGCGGACGGTCGAATGACTCTAGATTCAAGAGTGATTTTGGCCTACGGTTCGCAGAGAGAGCGAAAAACGACAGAGCAGACCGTCAAGATGCTAGCCTGTGGTGCGCCGAGAGAGAAACAATTGCTGCGATCCTGGGAAATGCATGGAATGAATATAATCAATTGACCGGCTTCTAGAATGCGTGGTCACCAACGCGTGGGTGAAGTAGGTGCTCTACAAGCCGGCATCATATTGTTTCTTTCCCCGGTAAATTCGCAATTGCGTTCTGCTTGGAGGGCAGCTAGGAAATCTAGGCGTCTTGACGACGTTCTTGTCGCCAAAAAACTGAATGGTGAGTCCAAAGGACCAAACTGAAAAGTTCATGTGTCGACTTGTGGAGAAAGGCATTGGACGCTGCCAGCGAGTTGGCTTCTAGATTTCGGCAACCGCTTCCACGCAAGATACGCTGCGCGAGAAGACAAAATGAAGAATATTGTCCGGTGTTCTACAAGATGTACCGTGCCGACGCCTGTATGAGATCCTCACATGCGCTAGAAACAAGGTGAGACAGATACAGTGTAGAAGCCGGCGGAAACGGTTTTATCCTCCGCGCTTTGATGGTACTTGCTCTTTCGCTGCAGGTCTCATCCCACCGGATCTAGGAAACCTCGCGGCACTCAGGCTCCTCTACCTTGGAGGAAACCAGCTTAACGGTGAGTAGCGCACATTCCCTCAAACCTACGTGGAGCGGCGCAGTGATCGAACTTTTCCCCGCTTTTACCGCAGCAAAAGCTGCAACGACACACCATTCCCATCTGAGCGCCGGGTGCAGGTGGTGATTCCGATAGGATGACCTTGGGGCGGCGGTTGTTGCAGCTTCCGCATCTACTTTTTCCGCTGTTGATACTGCAGAGGGACACCACCACCACGAGATCACTGCTGCACCTGCGCATGGATGATGTGGTTAGGCAGCACCATGATGCCATCGCTGCTGCTGTTGCTGCTGCTGTTGCTGCTGGGCGCACGTCCCCCTCGGGGCCAGTACAGTATTACCCACGGCCGCCACCAGCACCGCCATTCCGCCGTTGGCCACCACCCCCCCCCTGCTCCCCCTCGTTCTCTCCGTGTCAAAAACCACGGCGGACAACAAGAGCATGCGGGTTGGAAGGAACGGCAGGCTTCGCACGCGCCGGCCCTCGCTGTCCCGTGGCTTGGGTATTCCTTGTGACGTATCGACGACGGACGACAATCTCGACCTCCGCACGGCCAAGGTTACGTTTGGCCAGCCCACAGCGCTTTTCAACATCCGGCACAATCGGGAAGTTGGGCGGACAAGGATCTGTGCAATGTCTTGCTCACTTTTCAGTTTACCGACAATGCGCGTCGTTCGTCTTGACTTGTGCAACGCGTTCGTACCAATACTTGGCTCCTCAACGACCTTCATTGTGACGTTCTCCAACTTTGCAACAAGAAGCTGATCTCGGCAAGGTGTTTGGGCAAAACTAGCTCCTCCATCGCCCTCCATGCACCTATCATGGGGTGGCTTTGGTGTGGAGTGCTGTCACATGGTGCTTCCGCCGCAGATTTCGCACTAAATTCCCAAATCCTCTTGTGGTTCGCAACAAGGTGCGTGCCACAGTGGCGAATCTGGTGCGCCCGATCCTCAAAACTGAGTACGGGACCTCAGCTGCGCCAGAGATGGTGTGTTGTAGGTTGTGGTAGTCAAGATACACGTTTATTTCTTGGCACAGCTCGCAAAACTAGACCGAATGACGTGCCGGACCCTAAACACTACGGTGACTGACCCTGCCGACCACATGGCCTCCACCGGTGCAGCTGGAGTCCCACCAGGACCAACTCACTTCTGACCCGTGGACGGATGTATCCGCCGACTCTCCTATCCGAGGCCTCCACACCTAAGGGTTGGCAGCCTCGGCAGCTCACTTCGCCTTTTCCATCTCCGTGTTGCACAGCTGTATGGTCCTCCTCCGTAATTGTAGCCATATGCAGCTTACTCTAATGTGTTGTCCTAGCCCCTGAAGCACTATCCTATCACTGTGCTGTCCCGGTCCTCGATAGTCACCATCACCGCTTGATCGAAAAAACAGAAATTGATGCTCGACGCCCCTTTGGCCCGACTCAACACAACTCAGACGCGGATGTATCGTGATTAGGTGTCGCAACTTCATCAGAGGTCGAAAGAGAAAGGTGATCGACCCAAGGCCTTTGTTTTGCTTAGAAAGCAGATAAATGAGAGAGAGACACGGGGGAGGCAGGAAGAAGCTGTATCATCCACGTAACACCGCGGAGGCTCCGCAGTTCACTGTAATCCCTGCGGAGCACCCCCAGAAAGAGTGTAAGAATACGATCCGTTCATGAACCCCTGACTTGCTGCCTGCAGGTTCCATCCCTAAGGAACTGGGAGCCCTGTCGGAGCTCGAGGATCTGTCCTTGTGCAACAACCAACTCGAAGGTAAGAGGATTGGAGTGCATTGGCCACCCCGAAATCTAGAACACCTACGCGCCACGCGTGAGTGAAGTAGGTCATGTATTAGAGATAGTGACCCTCTTTTGTATTGTTAAATTTGTATTGAATCGTACGCGTACTTGGTTCAGAGAGATATCACGAAGGAGCTGGGAGCCCTTCCCGATCGTATTCATCTTGTCTTGAGCAGAGACTCGCAGTTAAAATGAGTTATCTGCAACTTGTCCCCCCTGACAGGTGAGCGGGTGAATAGACTTGCAGCATCTGGCAGGCGAGCGGGTGAATAGTTGATGAACATGGAAATCGGGATGGAATAACTGCATTCCTTACCTGCGAGTTGGTCGGTGCTTTGGCCAAGAAATGTGAACTCGGCAAGGGCCCCCAGCTCCACAGGCATGGCACCTTCGAGCAGTAAGTCGATCGTTTTGTCAACGGATTTGTTTTTGAAGAAGTTGTGCGCACAAAACAAAAATATCAGATTTCACGGAACAAGATTAAGAGCCCCTGGCTTCTAGACATAACGTACTCACCCACAAGTATGCGGGGGGTTATCCTCATATTTTCAAGGGCAAAACCTCATGACACGCGACTTATCTACTCGCCGCTGAGTTCATTTCCGTTGAGCACGAGGGTTTCCGACGCAGCTAGGTCTCTCAACTCGGTGGGATGACGTACTGTGAGCAAGCAGGTTTGGAATGAACGAAGCGTAGATAGTTATACTGTCGGTTTCCCGCGGCATCCACGCGTGGGTGAGATATTTTCAGTTGTCATGGTTTGGTTGTGACTTTGAATTTCGTACAGGCCCAATCCCAAAGGAGCTGGGCAACCTGAACGCTATGGCGCATCTGAATCCCAGCTACAACATCCTCAGTGGTGAGTCTTACCACCGTTGTTTTTTGTAGACAGCAAAGATGACATGAGCATTGTCATGCATGAATCTCGCCCTCTCCTGGGCGGGATACGTGCTCTAGAGAAAGCAACCTTGGTGAAATGCCGGAAGTGAACGGTCCGCTGTACATCATTTCGAACCTACGCAGGGTCTATACCGCCGGAGCTTGGGAAGCTGGGCGTTCTACGAGAACTCTGGATGTCTCACAATCACCTGAGCGGTGAGTTTCGATTCAACGTCATCGATGAAAAAAAATGTAGACACATATCTTAGCCCAAGAATACTTGATAGCATGTTCACCCAAACGAGGGTGTGTTTCATTCATGCGATACTCGTTTTGCCATTGTGTGGAGGACACCTGTCGGAAGTATCACGAACCATTTGTGCACATACAATGTAGGTAGATACGATCCATCGGAGTAACTTGCCATCGGCAGAAATGACAAGAAATGCGCCTTTGAGATCCATCGCTTCCGAAGTCCTTGACCGCTTGCCGAGAGTGGAGGCAGAGCGTCTTCGACTCTTCCTCTACCTTCTGCTGGCCACTCTTTTTATACCTCTCTCCTCGTTACATCTCACGAAAGGAAATAGCTACCCTTGACAGTGGGAGAATTCTGCAACGACACCGACTCCTGTCTCTGACGGAAGCCTGTGTCGTCACTTGGAAAATTCTCAATAGCACTCCCTCTTCGCCGATTTCCCCGCGGTAGAGGGGCTCCAGATTCACGAAGTTTCCTAGATCCGGCTGGATGTGTCCTGCAACGAACAAAATCACAATTGGGCGAGCAAATGAAAACTCGTTTCGGCTGCAGCTAGAATTACACTTGTCCCGCCTAGGATTCTAGAACATACAATGATCTAGACACCCACACTTTACGCGGGATTTCATGTATGTTTCTACAGGAGCCCAAACAAACAGTCATGGTTCAACGGACCCACCATCTAACTTGTTTTTACTGAGATGGAAATGCTGGGGCTTAGGTTTCCTAGCTGCGGTGGGGTACATCATACAGTAGATATCAAGCCGAAGCAGGGCATATTGAGACCCGCGGTATAAACTGATTGTTTGTAGAACCCGTGATAACCTACCGACCCACGCGTGGGTAGGATTCATGCATGTCGAAACAATTGATTTCGCCGTTCAACACCTGGATCCACCATCGGAGTATCGAAAGTGTTCAGGCCGAGGTCGAGGAGCTCTGGGGCTAAGATTTTCTAGCTGGTGCGGGATGTGCCTTGTTGATATGCAAGGTAAAGCAAGAAATACTATTGTTGGAATTCCGAAGAACAAATCGGTTGTTCTAGAACATGTCGTGGCCTACTCACGGGCGGGTCGGTGATGTTCTAGAAGCTGGGGCGAGTACATATCCCTAAGGTTGGGAGTTTGTTGCTGCTCAGCCCAAGAAACGTGATCTCGATAAGGGCTCCCAGCTCCTTCGGGACGGAACTTGCTAGCAGCAAGTCGATTTTGTTTTTGAATAACGTGTTCATACGGACCAGATTCAGCGCCGAATAGAGCGTAGGGTCGCCTGACGTCTATAAGAGGAGACCTACCTTCTCATTCACGTATCGGCAAGGGAGCCCAGCGCGAATTACAAGGCTCATTCATTAAATGAAATTGGTTCGTTGGTTCGTTTTGCCGACAGGGTCCATCCCCGAGGCGCTGGGACTTCTGAGCAATCTGGGGGCTATTCTCCTCTCAAGCAACCAGCTTACTGGTGAGGAACGTGTCAAAAATTTTCCTAGAACACCTATAGAACAACAGGTGTAGGCCGGTGAAAATGAAAACCTTTTGCGTATACGACCGCTCAGCATTGATTACCTCTACGCCGACAACGCTGAGCCACAACCCCAGCTGCTCACTTAGAGCTCCCAGCATCGTGGGGATAGCCTTGCACGCGAAATTCAGCAGGTAACACACAACATTCCTCTTTTCGTTGCACTCGATTTATTTCTGGACGTCGGCTTTTTTCAAGTTTCAGCACGGTTTCTGGACGTACCAGCCTAGGTCACACATTAGGAAGGACTCTTCTGTGGTGCTTGTCTTTGGTTTTATCGCGAGAAGGATTCAGGTGTTCCTTTCCCTCGTTGACCGTGAAGTTGAAGATTTGCGTACACATGAAATATTCGCAGTCAAACCCATAATGTGAGAAACCAGTTCAGTTGGTGTGACTGCGCCGAGGTTCGAACCCATTTCCCAAACGTCAGAAAGTTGCGAGGTTACCTACTGAACCACCAGCCAAGAATTGTAAAGTTCAGTTAATCATTCGACAATATCTTGTCCCGCCAAGCTTCTCGAACATGAATGGCCGACTCAACCACGAGTAGATAGTTGATATGCAACTGTGACGAGTTTTCGTTACCGCCACGTTTTCTCAGCATGCTCAGGCACAGAACTAGATACCCTCAAATGATCTGCTTTACTGGCCTCGCATAAACGGCAGCCATGATCAACATGCTCCCAAAAACTGTGTGTCGGCGCAGGAATAGCTGATGTTGTCCTCACAAGTCACCGTTTACTGTTCCCCGTCTGTGGTGCATGCTGCGAGGAGCTAAACTGGACGTCTACTTCCCGAGCATGTGATAGAGCTGATGTCTTGAGACAAGGCTTATATTCGCTACTCCTATGTACAACGGCCCCGCTTCTCTTTTTGGTTGTTTGCATTTACTTCTGCCTGGCTCCTGGTTTCCTCGTCAGCTATCTAGGATCACACCCGTGCCGTTCAGGACATCGGGAAGGAGGAAGTCCATGGGGTGTCAGGTATGCCTTCATGCAACCTTGTAGGCACAGCTTTGTCCTCTACCACCCGGCCAGTGGGGGCTGCGGATGGGCCGTAGCAGTGCCCAGTTGGGTTACTCAACTTCTCATAGCTCGTGTTGGGGGTTGAGGTTGCGAGAAATCAATAAATGGGTCGATGTTAATCAATTAGTGGGTACGATGTTGTGGCTCAGTCCATGTTGAGCGATGCTGGTATTTATGAATCGCCTGTATCTGCTCATCTTGTCGTTCTTCTGCCGCACCAAGGTTGACCTGGAACATCCACTTGACGGTAAATGCGGTCTTGTTTTTCAAGGTGTGTGCCGCATCATCTGGAGTACGCTGTCTCATTCGGTATCGTCTCCGCGTCGTTGCCCTCGTGCGCCCATCACAAGAGGAGGCTGAGCAGGTCGGGTGGGTGGTGACTGAATACCGCCAACGGTTGTTCATTGCTAGATGGTTCGAGCGATGACATCCATTGCTCCAAATTTGCATGTTGTACTGTGCTCGGTAGGTGGGCCGATTCCCAGCCAATTGCTCCGGTTGCTTGACACCCTCACCGGTGCTCAAGGAGGGATTTCCCGTAGGGCTATCATCAATCTCGATGATAGTCCATGGACTGAGCCGCCAGAGTCCATCGCGGCCGAAGGTCCACAGATGATCAGAGACTGTTTTGAAGACCTGTATGCTGAACCTTGCCGAGTCCAGCGCAGCAGCGTCAAGGTTATTCTTGTTGGGCAAGAAGGCGCAGGGAAAACGAGGTAGGTTCTGATGTGTTCGTGTCCGCTACTCTGTCGCACCAAAGGTTTTTGGCTGAAATCGTTCGCGGTTTACCACATCCATTGTGGCCCAGCCACATGAATCTAAGCAGTTGATGCCCAACGACGGGTGCATGAAGCCGAAAACCATGGTATCACACGTGGCTTTTGTTCTTTTGGGCTGTATCTTGGGTGTTTCGCCGCTCGAATCATGGATTTATTTCTGATAGAGCAAAGGCGTTTGTCTAGTGCCCATGGAGGAGTTGGACGGCAAACATTTGTGTCTTGGGCATTGTTTGATGCATGCTTTGGAAAAATGGTTACTCGAAACCGAATCATGGTACCTTGAACACGATGTTCAGTCGACCCTTTTCCGGCTTGCATTCAGTTATTTGTGTTATGCATATGTTGGATACGCGCGTCTTTGGTCCAGGGCTTGCGCCAAAGTATGAAGGCTAACGAAGCAACTCCCACCGGTGAGTGGAAGGAGGAGAGCACTGTTTTTGCGGACGTGGAAGGCATGGAGCTACAAGGTTCATTTGTTCGGGTATACGATTGCGCCGGACAGGTGACGGGTGGTCATTATGCTATAGAGCAGAGGCGTTGGCTGAGACGGTTGCCTAGCATCACCTATTGTTTTGCCTCCGACGTGCAAGTGGCATCAACAATGCAGTAGCTCTTCCCAAACAAGGCCAATCGCCCATTCAATTTCCGTCGTGTATGTCCTCTATAAGGTGTTGTTTCACGCCAACCTTTACAGTTTCAATACCTGATACATCATACAGTTCATCACATGACGTGCTTACTATCTCCCTGCAAAACGCATCTCACGGGTGGTACTTATGTTCACTTCTCGTTATCATTGTCGCCTAAAATACTTCATTGGGTATTGAATTAATCTGTTGCAGTCTTACATGCTGTAGGATTGTCTTACTCTACTTCACATTCCGACTTGTCGGTTCGGATGTGGCTGGGGTCTTGGGAGCGCCGAAATGGTTCATGAGTATTGTGCTTAATGTGGCGATTGTGTATTCCTCCAAGAGCCACGTACGTCATGATAATCGACGATTCCCTGACGTTGACACGTTTCTACCGGTAACCTACACGGGGCAGCTGCAGATGTACCTGACGCCACGGGCTGTGTGCGTGCTAGTATGCAACGCGGAATCTTTCGGACAGCAGCGAGGTCGCGAAACCGGTGGTCACGTTACGGGCGACTGCCGCAACATGGAAGAACTGCGAGTCTGCCCTTGGCTGCGATCGATCTCTCGACGCGTTCCCGACAACGACGTCATCCTCGTCGCCACCAAGTGTGATTTGGCAGGCGAGAACACCAGGGACATTGGCAGAAGAATTGGGCATGCGTGTCGAACGTGGCTTTCGAGCTGGGTTCGCGATGGTATGTATCCCGTTCGGTTGGAGCGCGGAGTTTGCCTCGCGAGCTGCCGCCCGATAAGATTGAATGAGCATGGTGAAAGAAGCGCTGGGAACGAAGTGTTGCAGGGGGGATGGGCATGCGACTGGCGAGACATGGAAGCCGATAGCCCCTCGCCCAGTTTGATCCACCGGCTCGTCAACAAGCCCGACCGGGGTGGTCTTCGAGGAGCTCGGATGGTACTTCCTCGCAGCTGGGATATCGCCCTTTCTGTTCTGGAAGCCCTCGAGCTTGGACGGTGAGCTCGATGTCGGGTTGACGCTTGGACTCCGCAACGACTTAAGGGTGGATTCGTTTGTCGCACCAGGGGAATTTTAGAACCGTATCTCACCCCTCCCCGTTTGAGCGGGGGGCGTTGAATCGCCACCTAGGGGGAAGTATCGCCCATTTTCATTGAAACGCAGATGAAAGCAGAACAATTTTGCGTGGTTCTCGACGTCCATGGACTCTTGTGCTGTTTACAGCGGCCAAGTCTTCGAAGCTCTCCATTGCTGGAACCGTTGCACACCGCAGCGCTGTGCCATGACAATCAGCTCATATAGGCACGGCAATGCCCGAGTTCACTCAGATGTACCGCTGTGGAATACAAAATAGGCACGTTCGGACGAACTGTCAACTTGACTGTACTTCTGGGCGCTGCACGAGAGGCTGACGACAACAGGCGCACAGCCTGATATGGTTCGTCTCCATGGTCACCATGACCCACGATGGTGCATACTATCACAGTAACCCGCAACCAAGCCTTGTTGTTGGTGTTTGGTTTCTTCAGATTAGACACCGTTCTGACCTCTATCCAGTGCTACCAGGTGAGGCGAAGAAAAATCCGGGAATCTCCAGCTATCCGACGTGCCCAAGGCCCAGTCTATTTCGCAATGTCGAATTTCGAGCCTACACCTTCGTATTTTGTCCGTGAGTTCCCTTGGTCGAACTCTTCTTATGTTGGTGAGTGCCTCAACTGTACTAGCAGCCCGTACCATGCAGGGGTATTGGTGCAATCCCCGGGCAATGGTGTGCTGCTGTCGCCGACGGTTTCCCCAGTTGGAAAGTATGGTTTTTGACGCTATTTTTTTCTCGAAAATTCCTGCCCAGAGATCCCGTGGAGATCGTAGTGCAGAAGCTAGCTGACAGAGAAGGCGTGACGGAGACGGCAAGAGGTAAAGCAGTCGTGTATCAAGGGATTACTGTTGAGGACCTCAACACCAAATGGCATGATACAGCTGACGAGCTTGCGAGGAGAGGGATCACGGTCACAAATGCCGAGAACGCCTTGAAGGGAGCTCTTTCAATGAGGTAAGGAATCGTACAGGTGCTTACCGCTGTACCGAAAAATGGTTGACGGGTGTTTGTCGCCCGAAAGAAGCCCTGGGCAGGTGATGTGTAGATTGCGAGGACGACAACGTGTATTTCTACCACCCGTCAGTGGATTCAACGCTGCCGTTGCTCACCGCCAGATTCAGTGGCATCCTCGGTTCGTTCTCTTTGTTCGGCACCTTTCAGATCCCCAGCCCTATCTCTGACCCGTAATCTTCACCGTTGGCACTTGACTAGGTCACCATGCAAGGATGAGGGGTTGGTTGCGGTGTACGCGGTGCAGAGCGAGACTACATGTAGATTGCTGCTCTGTATGCTGCAATCCGCGGCGCGAGATTGTGCCAGGCACCGCAACATTGCCGAGAGATTGCCATTCCGATGTGGTGATACATCACAATTTTCGAAAGAACCATAGTACGACATCGCCGCCGTTCGACGTGCTTCGTCGCTTAGCAAGCAAAATATTTCAGGTCTCGAGCATTGTTGTGGCCCCGTGTAAGTGGTAAAATCCTCCTGGGTGGCCTATACTTCTGATCAAATGCGTTGTTCAGGGAGTTCGATGGATCCTCGTTCGGCACGAGACTTATGTCTATCTTGACGTCGTTTGGCTGGCAAGAATACTAAAACCCTTGCTCAACCACAAGGACGAGGAGACCTTCGACGGCTTTGTCAACCTTGGGGACACAGGTGACGCGCGTATCACCCTCGGGGATCCATCGGACATCGCTTCGTGGGCCAGGTTCAAGAACGAGCGCGTGCTTGAGCCCAGGCTAGCACGTACGATGTGGCCTAATGGTCTGTCCGAGTACGTTTTCCCTACTCTTGCATCCTTGGGTCTGACGCTCCCTCTCGAAAGCGATCCTGTTGGGGGGCTGGTAGTCCTGCTAAGGCTGAAGAAATCTCGCCCCGAGCGTGTGAGGAAAGTGATGCACACATTTTGCTTGGACCACACTCCGGCATTAAGCGCCAGTTGGAAATTTTCCTCGAGGTACCAGCTGGTGCGATTGAGAAGATCTTAACACGGTGTTGCCGCGTTGGTGGTGTACGAACGTCCTGGCGGTCGGGGGTGCTTGTGCATAGCGGCCTCGGCGGCCGAGACTCGCACGGGGTATTTGCTGGAGTTTTGGAATACTCGCTCAACGAAAACGCGAGCTCAGATATACGGCGAAATCGGCACTCCAGCTCCGTGGGTGGCGCTATCGTATGTCACATCTGCTGCGAGGTTGATGCTGCTGGATTTTTCAGGGCTGCGCTCGAGAGGCTATCTGAAGTGTCCTCAGCATGGCGACGGGATGCTGTTGACCAACAAGGTGAGCCCTCAGACCCTGACGTGGTCTGGAGGCGTATGCATACCCCAGAAGAGTTGTACCTCTCGCTCAGAAAGTACACGTCTTTGCGATTACTCACCGTTGTCTTACGATTTAACGTCTATGGCTCCGTCCTGTGTTTTTGTTATCGAATGAGTGGAGGACGTGTGAATCAGGATCCTCTTCCAATAGGAAACCCTCAGAGCAGTCAGACTGCAGTAAGTCTGGTTTCGCCATGTTTCTATGCTGTCCATCGTCATCGCCTTGGGTAGTTTCTGTAGCTCGTCTTGAACTTGCCATTCATTTTGCAGGAAGGTGGCGCTGAGATACTGCACGTAGAAGTGCATGGCTGCATGAACGGGATCTCAATTTCGCGTTCTTGCTGTATCGTGGCGGTGTATGCTTGCGTAATGTGGGTGCAAATACATGATAATTTGTTCGTTCACCTCTCTAACATTTCTTTGAATAGTAAAGTAATCGTTGAGATGTTCATGCTAATACTCAGTCGGCTTGTGCCCAAGTACCCCTTAATCCGCCCAAATGTCTATCACACATCAGGCGACTCGTGCTGGAGGCAACCTGCTTGAAGGCAGTGGGTGCCCACAGTGCAGTCCCGACACCAAGGGGCTTGGGGCCGCGGCCATCGAGCTGATGCGCATGATAGACATCCGACTGGACCTAGGTGTGAACATGTGGAGGGTATTCGTAGGCCACGCCAGATAGTCCTCATGCCGAATCAAGCGTCTGGGTATTCTCTTGGTCGACGAACGTTCAGGCGATCTACTGGAACACCGTAAATTGATAGTGGACCCATGCGGTTCTAGGTTGAGCTCATTTGTGGCTACGGTCCCCTTACACGTTCTTCTTTACGGCGTACGCTCTTGCATTCAAACGTTCTGTGTGCATGCCATGTACAATCACTTCGAAGAGTAGATACCTTGCCTTCATCTGCACGTCGTCCTACCCCAGTGCACTCCGGTTTCGACCGGCATATTCAAGCCTCGCTGGGGTATTGTGGGGCTCTGAGACGAGACCCAACCCGACGGTGCCGAGAAAGAAAATGGGCGCTTCGTTTTTTCTACTGCTCATTTTGTTCCTACAGACGTGATTGCCATGGAAGTCAAGGAGAGGTTTGTCGATCTCGTGGGTCGGTACTCCTTTCCATCCCAAGTGGTGAGCATTGACTGGTGTTAGCAATATACGAAGTAGGAATTAGGGGAATGATTTGCCGCAGCAATCCCGGACCTTCTTGAACAATGAAAACAAACTTCTGCTAACGTTTTGTAGCGCAGGGGTCAAGCCCACTCACATCACAATCTGCACTGCGTAACTTGCGAGCCCACTGTTACCCGCTGATTAGGCGTTGGGGTAGTTTGCGCCGTGCTCAGAATGGCAACAGAGCTCCTTCTCAACTTAGGATGCAAACAGTGTGTTAGATGGAAACAGCCACACCTGTCACCCACCTCACTTAATGTTTTCCGGCGAAAAGTGGTCTCGTCCTTGGCTACATTGAGTCTTGTTGAGGGAATACAGAAAGCGGCACAGAACATCTACGCACAGGAGACAACCTCGTTCTTGCTTCACTGCTCCCTCCTTGCTCTACCTGTAGAAGCACGGCTCTGTTACCACTGTGCACGACAATGGCATTTTCGGTAGCATGAGCAAGGACCATAATAGAAGCAATCGCAATGACGTGTACACCGCAACACCCCTAGTTTAACAATGGGTGTTGTTGAGGTCGAATTCTGCCTAGCATATCCACAGAACAACCACAAGCTGGTCTATACACTTGGACCATCATGGCGTTTCTCTTCCTTCTAGACGTACGTATGCACAAGGCAATGTTTCAGCAATCGCTGATATTGCATATGTTCCATGCTGCTGCCGTAAATGTCACAGACGAGCGCCAAGTGTGTTGGTTCAGAATGAGAGCATGGCCATTACGTTGGAGAGAATTGAGGGCAGGGTCGATGCCGCATTGGGAAGGATGGACAAGCTGTTGTATAGCAGCACCCAGGAAAGTATCCTGCGCCTCAAGAACTTGCAGGCTCCGGCCTACATGTACCCTCGCCTTGTGCGCGTGTCGTGTGGCACGTCGTCGAGGATTCGCGGGAAAGCGAGTCTGCTTAGGACACTTGCGGGGTGTGCAGGAAGGACATGATGCTACACTTCTTGTGCCCGGTGGACATGACCATAGTGCCGTGTGGCTATGGTGGGGAAGGGTATCGGTTGCGGAAGACACGTGACTGGGTCGAGAAACTATCGCCCGTGCTTCAGGTTAGACAAACGTTTTCGGCGGTACTGATTACTCCCCCGTTAGTGGAAGTGTCGCCGACTGAGAAGTTTCCACGTGCAATACCTTTGCTTCAGGCGTTCAATACCAATATCGGGTTGTTCAAGGCAATGCATTGAGGCGTGAATGCTGATTCAACTTTGTCGCAATCCGGTTTGATGTTTATGTGCATGCTCCCTTCCAAGGTGGCCATGGTGACCGCAAAGGTGGCGCTCAAAGCGGCGTCAGGACTGGAAGTTGATCTCTCGCATTTCCTGAAGGACATGCAAGATGAGTTGGTCGATGAGCTGGTCGACCGAATTCTCGACGAGGACGCCCTCTTTCGTGTTTTATCGGGTGAGGAGGACATCGACGCCAACATGCAAACGGAAACAATGACCTCGTATGAAGCGCTGAAGACATTCATGGACCAAGAACAACGTGAAAGGCGAAAGAACGCCAGGGATGGTGATGGCTACGTAGACTTCAGGAAAAAAATGAAGCGCGTATCCGACGGGAGCGGGGGGATGGTATGGGTTAGGAACGAAAATGTTCAAAGGTGGTTGGACTCACATCCGAACGCTGCACCATTGTGCGAGATGCGGGGTCATTCGGGGTGCAGCATCATGCGCAACTAATCACCATATTTAGGCGAAAGCTCAGGTACGGAAATGTGTCAACGCACACATTTTTGTAAGCAGTTGGCGTTTGTGAGTGTGGTACTGTAGTCTTGGTGCTGTAAACCATTCCAAGTCGGGTACTCCCTGCTTCCATCGATTGTGGCGCCTGCACAGGTGTAGCGTCACGGTTAAGCGTGTCACGCGTAACCCTAACGCGTAGTGCTCTCTCAACCTGGTAGGTTTGGCCATCGATATATCATTTGTTGTCATACAGGCTATCCACCAGAAATCGTACGTGCATGGACGCTGCTGGCATCAACATTGTCGACCAGCAAGAGAGGCTCTCGCCTGAAAGGACTTTCGCAAATATCGCAACCGATGTAGTTCTACGAACAACGGTGAATGAGGCCAAACGAATTGTCTGTTGGAAGGAAAATATATGCCTGAGCTGGCCGCAGTTTGGTTTTGAGATGATGTGATGTGAATATGTCAACACCATCCACCCCAATTCGACCTACGTCGTTGTAGCAAAGAATATGAAGAGATGCGTTAATCTGTACTCCGGAGAACAGCAAACAATGCCGAACTGGGCGAGACCCCTCCGACTGATTCCAAAAAAGCTCGACTGCTGCACAACCAAAATTTTACCAACACCAACCATATGGTGGTTTTGGAAACATGTCGTCTGGGGCATTCCGTAGAATTATCGGGTCCTTTCGGCGCCCCCCTGGTTGTGGAGCAATCGAGCTTTGAAAGTCGGCCCAGGTGGGGGTGCCATGGGTGCCATCTCTCCGCCTCTCTGCGGGATGCAGAACATGCAAAGGAGAGAAGCTTGGGAGAGACAAGGAGAGATGGTAAATATCTGGCCGCCAATCTTCACTTCTCTCGTTTACAACGCCGCCGCTCACCAAATCTGAATCCAGATGTTCAGTTGATCCTCTCCTCTGGTCCCGTCCGGCTCTGCCCCGGTTTCAGCTTGCTGCCGGCAACCCAGCACACCCAACAACAACCCCACTCCGCTCCGCTCGTGTGTGTGCGATGGCATGTGCGGGGGAACCTCCACGGACCACGTTATGCAGAATACCATCTGCGAAGTCCCCCGAAGAGTCCTCTTTCCGTCCGCGCTTCTGCGTCTGACTCTCTCCACGTCTCCTATCAAGCTGCTCTTTCCTCGCTCCAGAAGTGTACGCGTGTGTGTGTAATAGCAGGTAGAAGCGTGGGCTGATTGCTCCCGCCGCGAGATTGGTGTTGCTGAAAGCTACAGTATGGCGGAGGAACTTTTACCTTGAATCCCTCCGCATCTGCAGCACCAATGTCAAGTTCGCAGTGCATCCGAGGGCACAGGGAGCTTTGGGCACCTCAGCTGATTGCACGAACGATGGTCCATATACTGAAGCTGGGGGTGTCGGCAACACGGCAATCCTCTTCGCGTGGTCTCCAATTGACAGGCGTGGGTGAATACCAATCCGAAGGCGGGTCCTGCTGGGATATGCTGCTGTTTCACAAGAATCCCAGCATATTCATGCGCGCGTGTCATGATTCAATACCCGCCAATTCACTTCTTGCCGCCTGCTGCTGATGTGCTGCTGTTTTCTGCATTGCTACATACCATACTGGTTTCACAACCGTTTCCGTGTGTTTTCGTGGATCGTCCGGAAAGATGCCGGTTGTTGATCTTCCGGATTTGCTAGGAGTAGAGCTGGTGATATCGTGCATACTGTACGGGGTTCGACACACTCTGCACCACGTGCGCGGGTGTGCTGCGGCGTTTCCGCCTCTAGAAACACTCCGTGGACGAAGCACACCTCTACGATCGCCTTCATCAATGCCAGGGCTCCGGGTAGCCACGTTTCCGGCTGAAGCATTTTCATGTGAGAAAATTTTGCTTTTAAATCCTGAACGTGCACGAACGTTTCGACACTCGACGTCAGGCACAACTTGGGCACCAGCGCATTTTATGTACTGATGAAAGATCAACGGGTACAGGTCAGCAGCATGCAGCGGCAACATCACGCAAGGGCAGTCGAAAACCCGAACTTGTGATGCAACTTTCCGGCTTACAGCGGTGTGGTGTGCTCTTATTTCCTGCTTGTCCCAAGGCCCTGCACTTTGCCCAATCTCCCACACTACTGACAGATTTGCTAAACCGCCCATGGGACACCCATGGGTCACCCAGGCATGCCCATGGGCGGCCCATGAAGTGCCCATGAAGTGCCAATCGTGGGCACTTCAACCTAGATCTTCGCCACCGGTATATCAACCTAGAACTTAGCCACCAGCGCCAACCTAGAACGTATCGTGTGGGCTGGTTGTGGTTAGGGTTATCAGCCGCTATAACGCCCGTTCCGAAGCGGATAATCTACTTCAGAAGAAGTATTGTTTAGGAGTACACTGGTTTCGGTTGAAAGACTCTCAATGGCCGCCCATGGGCTTCCCATGGGTTGCCCATGGGCCACCCATGGGCTGCCAACGGGCAACCCATGGGCATGCTCATGGGCATGCCCGTGGGTGTCCCATGGGCGTTTTAGAAAAACTGCAGGAGTACGGGAGACCCCACTTGCCTGGTATCATGTTGATTGGCGACGACCAATGGACCTTCAACGAAGCTGACAATCCCTCATTCATGTTGTCGAAAGCCCCGGCTCAAGAGCACGTCGAGATTTAGCTGGTTGTGCAATTACCCATCCCCGTCGTCGGTTATCCCCTCTCTCGATTGTCTCCCCCCTCTTGATCTCCGAAGACTGACAAGGCACCATCGTGCGAATTCGGCAACGTTACAAGAGTATGTAAGACTCTTCACCCTCCACACTCGTCTGTGTCTCGTTGATTTTGATTGCTTCGGAAACCTCACTGAGTTTCATCGCAGATACCTCAATGCAGGTGAAAAAACCAATAGGTATGGTGGCCTTGTTAGCAGAGGGGCGGTAAGGCACGGAGGCAGGGCGGCGACGCCGGGACGAAGTCGCACAAATCGATCGCTTTGGCCAAGGAGTTACATGTCACGAATCGGGCCGGGGACGTGGAAAGGTAAAGGAAGCTGGAGCTGCTCAAGTGCGTGACATCCATGGGGGTGAGATGGAGCTAGCTGTCCATGCAGCGACGGCGTTTGTGGCATCTTCTTTCCAAGATATTTGCGGCGTTGTGATGTATCGGTGGGACGGGAAGTGGACGTGTTGACAGAGTATATCAATGGGTCCATCACGAAGCGCGTGGCGCTGCACGACCCGGACGCGGGGCACTGGTCTCTTCAAGTATTCATGGTGAGTTACTCACGCGTTGTGACCTCAATGGTGTTCGATGGCAAAGTAAAGTATATTAGCATTGAGGTGAACGCTTCGGGGTGGTGCTCGGGTGCTGCAGTTGCAGTGGATTTACGCCTTCCCCATATTTTCACGTTTTATCAGACAAACAAGGAGGACGACGGAGCCCACAGAGTCGGGAGCGAGAGCGACGTGGTGGACTTTGTGGAGGCACGCATCAAGCTCTCGCTGGCGGAACTTGCCACCGGCACTGGCGATGACCCCATGGGCACGGGCGACGACGCGACCACCACAGGGGATGACGGCAAGGTGTGTATATAGGATGTATTCTTTATTATAGGGTGTTGTGTCGTCCGTGGAGCCGTACCTTTTTCGCGTCGGTGTTGGCGTAACAAAATTGACAACGCTGAAACTCTCAATCGCTGAAACACCCCTCTATTCTCGCGTGTGTTATGTCTTCATCGTTTTCTGGTGAAGCCCCCTGACATCGACGTCGGCAGCGACACCGAGTTCTCCGATTCGACAACCGCACCCCTGAGCCCCAGCTCGTCGCGGGGTGATGTGACGCCCGGAACCTTCGAGCCCCACCTCATCGCAGGCTTCCTGGGCGTCTCACCCGTGGGACGACGATGAGCACTGGGACGACTACAAGAAGTACCTCGACCACAACAGCTTCTTCACCGAGGAGGAGAGGGAGGAGGTTTGCCCCTTCCCGTCGGTGTGGTCAGAGTAGACCAGATCGCACCCCCGGTGGCACGGCAAGGTTTGCGGTAGCGGCGGGCGGAGGGCGACGACGAGGAATAACAGGAAGCGCCGGGTCCCGCGTCGCATCCGGGACAGGCGCCGCCGCCGGGCCCTGCGGCACAAGCAGCTGGCCAGACGTGCGCGAGTGGGCGGACGTCGCCGCCGGCCGCCCACCTCCTTCCGAGGGGGAGGGGACCCCCCCGAGGGCGATCAGGTACGTTTTGTTCTTGTGAGTTTACCACGGCTCGTTCTGCTGTGGATGAGATCACCCGTGCCGTGCTTGACATCCCTGGTATTAATAATGAGCTTCGCAAACCCTCTCTTTCTTTACCCCGTTGCTTTCTCAAGGGAACGGGGGAGGAGACGGCGCAGGTGGCGGCACAGGGCCCGGTGCAGGTGGCGGAGCGGGAGACGGGACAGGGTCCGACGGTGTCCGGAGCGCAGGCCGATCCCGAGCCTCGGCGCTCCGGTAGGTCAACCCAGGGACGAGCACCAATCAAAGGTGGACCCATCCACCAAGGCTACAGCCACCGCGACGACCCCAACTTCGATGAAAACAAGTACTAGCGGTCGATGATGGAAGGGGCTTTACGTTGGCGCGCGCCGAGGAAGTTTCGCGCAGCCACAACAAACGCAAGGCCGGCGGCATCGGTGGCGCCAAACGAGCGGTCTCCGGTGGCCCTGACAGTGGCGGTGGTAGCGTTGGCAGTGGCGGTTGCCTTGGCAGTGGCGGTGGCGGTGGTGGCAGCGGTGACGGTGACGGCGACGACGACGGCGCGGCTCCCATGAAAGTGAGTGATGATGACTTGAGCCGTGCTGCCTTCGGTGGCGGTGGGGGTGACAGCGACGGCGAGTGGAGTGCTGGTGGCAACGACGGCGACGACGGTGGGGGCGGCCGCAGTAGCAGCGGAGGGGGCGACACTGATGGCGAGGGTGACATGAGCAGCTGTGGCAGAAGCCATGGCGACCGTGGCAGCAGCGGCGGGGGCGGCCGCGGTGGCAGCGGCGGCAGCGGTAGCAGCAACGCATCGGAGAAGAGTAGTGCCGCGAAGAATAAGACGAAGAGATCGGCGGTGGGTGGGCAATTTGCCCCTCTCGTCCAGCCTAGGCCTGCGTTCGAGGAGGGGGACAGGGCTTTGGCCGCCGAGAGTCTCGCAGAGACAGCGAAGTTGGAGGAGGCAATACCGAGTTGTACGAAGGACGTGAGGGGGCTGACGTTAAATGAGGCGGAGATAGCCATAGAGAAATTCAAGCTTTCAGGGACTCTGCCGAAGGAGACCTTGTTGAAGATGGCGACGGATGATCCCAGGCTGGATGGAATAGCAGCGGGGGAGGACGGTACGAAAATAGACGCGCCGAAGAAGGGGAAAGGGACGGTTGTGGCGTCCAAGGTGGTGGCAGGGCACAGGGTCTTCACCATCAAGTGGGGGCGCAAGCGCACGGCCTGCTCCGAACACGACACCTACTACGTGCTGAAATGGGCAGTGGAGGGGCAGGCTGCGTCGTTCGAGGCCGCGGTCGAGCGCAGTGTGAATAATCTTTGCATCATCGTCTGTATCAACGGCAGCCTCGTCCCAACGTTCATGCAAAACGACGGCAAGAGGAAACTCAAGCGGGATGGAGCTTACAGGGAAGCGTTTGGCCCGTGCCGAGGAGGTTCGACCGTACGCTTGGGACCGTATGAAGGGCTTGAAAGCGGACAAGACACTCAGCCCCGAGAGCCTCGCCCTCTTGGAGGGAGATGCCACCCTCGTGGAGGCCCTTATGACAACGCCGATCCACGAACTACTGGGCTTTATAGACGCCGCGGAGGGGATGAACGATGGCAAGACTTGGCTCATGAAGGATCTCACGCCGGGCTACTGTCATCAGCAGCAGCACGGTTTCGTGGACGACGTCGTCAAGTATTTGCAAGCGGCTTGTCGCCTAGGCAGGTTGCCCACGCTGGAGTCGATCGGGTTCATGATGACACCCTCGGAGCTGGATGGTACGGGGGTGAGTGTCCCCACCAAAGAGGAGCTGTGTGCTAGCTACAGAGTCGAGGAGGGCGAGGAGAAGCGATACGGTTTGGCTACTAGGGCGCTGCTGGCAAGAGCACGGGGAGATGGTGTATTTTGTCACTGGAGGGTACACTTCCCCCTCTACAGGTTGCTCATGCTCACCCGACCGGAGGGGAAGCTCATGGAAACGACGGAGCTCAGCTGCAAGGTCGCGAAGACCAGGAAGGGGCTTTCCTTTTTGAACTACTTGAAGGAGCGCTGAAAGAAAACTGATGCCTGGAAAAGAGACCGGGCGCTTCATGCGTCTGTCCACGCAACGTATTGCGATCAAGTTGCGGATGACAAGAAGGCCGAGAAGAGGATCGCGGATAATCGCAAGGTGCGGGTTGAGAGAGTTGTCGCATTGTGTTCACCATTTGTCCAGTGGCAATCTCGCTTTGGTCTACATATTTATAGTAGCGCGAATATGCTTGGTTCTATTTCGTGGTGCCGCGGGTTGCCACTTGTTATTGTGTTTGTTGAGGCCCAAAAAACCGTTCTCTCTCGGACCTGAAAGACACTCTGATAATATGAATAGAACCCCAACACACTGCCCGTACGCCTTTCCGCGCGTTTGATTCAGGTCAGGGGAGGAAGGATGAAAATTCCGGGATGCCCAATCTTCAGGAAACGGACGAATCACATGGTGGACGTGGTCCAGCACAACGCATTGGAGCCGGTCACGGACCTTATTAGCGAAGACGAGGTGAAGATGTGCCTCGACGTGCGGCGATCTACGGACAGGAACACTATGGTGGACGATGTGCTGCGGGTCAACGATTTGGACTACAACGCCATTCTGGAGATCGAGGAGTCCCGCCTGATGCCGCAGAAGTACGCCGTGGCAATCGGGGAAATCGTCCGGCGCCTGAAACCCGACGTCACGGCGGAGATGGTCGCCCTCTTTAGCCAAGGCCTGACCCTCGTCGACGCGGTTCTAAACGCGTGCCTTCGTTGCCAGGACCTGCTGGGGATGTTTGCCTTCGCGTCTTACATGATGACGTTCGTGTCGCCCAAGAAAGCCCCCACCGAGGTGATGGAGGTGGTCCTGCCTCTGACGGCGAAGGATACGAGGGCTTCAGACGGTTCAATCCAAGGCACGGCGTGCGTCCACCTGAAGAGGCCAGACATGCACCGATGGCTTGCCGTGTTGCTTGTTCTTCTCCGCCCTTTGATGAGGGAGCACCTTCAAGGTTCCGGAAAGCAGCTGTGTTTGGAGGTGGGCCCATTCGATGCCAACGGGAAGCTATTTACCAACAGCAAACTGCTCGATCTGTTCCAGTACGCCGGGAAGCACTTCCTGGGTTTGCCCCGGTGGGGGTACAACATCAACCGCACCGTCCATACTTCTAATGCGACGTTCTTGGCGCTGGCACAGGGTGAAGGGAGCAATGCTCCATGGGTGGAAAAGGTTTTCGGTCAGGCTCGCCAAAGCAATAACCGAACTCAGGGAACCTGCAGCTCTACCGAGGTGCGGTATAGCTCTCAGGAAGGGATGCAATACGTAGCAGGCGGCATTCTCCCGATGTGTGAGGCGCTAGAAGCCGCGACGTCGGCCGACAATGCCCCGCACTGGGTCCTTCGGTCGCCCCCGCCTTCACCGTAGCCACCCCCGCACCGGTTTCTTCGGCCACCCCCGCACCGGTTCCTTTGATCGCCCCCGTCCCCGCCGTCGCGCCGGTTATGATGGTCGCCCCCGTGGTCGCCCCTACAGCGGCGGAGCGGATAGAGATGATGAAGCTGGAGCTGGCCATGAAGCAAGCGGACGCCGAGAAGGAGAAGGCGAAAATCGAGCAACTACGATATGCGGGGCTACCACCAGCGGGCGCTGCACCAGCCAAGATCGCCGAAACATGCCAGAGTACGTTAGAGAATCTGGGTGATGGTAGTGGTAAGCGCGGTCGTTCGGAGAAGGAAGTTCTGATAGGCGGGCCTGAAAAGAAGCCGAAGAAAGTAAAGAGAGAGTTGGTCGAACCGAAGAAGTTGGCTCTGGCAAAGAAGATGCATGGGTACATGCTAGAGATGCGTTCACTCGCCGTAGTCACCGGAGCAGAAAGGGTCAAGGTTGGGGCGAAACCGAAGAGGGGTTCGTGGGTCTGCACGATGAATAAGTGTAAAAATAGTTATTCCGGCAGCACCGTGTTTGGGGAGGGTGTTGCAGGAGCAGTCGGCATCAGAACGGAGCTAGAGAGACTCTACCCGGACTTTACTAAAGAGTTCTTTGCGACGTTTCAGCTCAAAACTCAACTCCAACCGTTCTTCAATGTTTTGCTGCGTGAAGAAGAGAAGCGTTCTGTAGAGTCGCGTGATTCGTGACTTGTTCAGGTGTGTTTTGCATCGGTTTAGACAGGAGTTGGTGTTGTGTGGTGGTGCTTTCTGTGGACGTTAATGATGACGTTTAAACCTGGGACTTTACGCGTGCCTCAAAATCCAGGGGCCGTGCTTTGCACGCGTTCATCGTTATGAAGCACGCGTTCATCGTTATGACGACATTTTTGGGGGCAGATACCCCGTGGGTCTCCCCGCAACAGGCACATCGAGTGGGGAACCCCCGAAGGATCGACTACACGCGAGGCAGGATCTGCCGCCCTTCCAGCGCTCTTGCACGACAGGTGGGGCTCGCAATCGGGGCTTGCCCCGGTGTGTAGTGGATTCAACCACTTGTGCACGCACGATTTTTGCCACCACACCACCATGTGCATCTCTCCTGCCGTTGTGCGGTGGACTAGGCGCAGACGATATTGATTGCCGTTAATTGTATCCGCACTCCCCGAACAGTCACCAAAATTGGTGGAGCGCATGTTGAACGCTTCGTGACTTTGATCTCCATTGCTGACCGAGCTAACGGGTTGAGCAAAGCGCACGCCGTTCGAAAGCTCTTGTCGGATATACAACCAAACGGGCAGTGCATGGTGAAAATTGCGTCGAACACCCGCCTCGACGGCATGCGGTACCGGGCGCTCACTAAGTCCTTGATTGTTTTCAATGATATATAAATTATGTGTTATTAATATTACGTTCAAATGTCATAAGGACCCTCTGTCTTATTTAGACATGTCTTATGTCTGGGATCTTTAAACGTGACAAATATATCATCGGACACCTCACTCTCTATCACGTCTTCTACGGGAAATGTCCAGCTAGATTCTTACACTTTCCCATCCGCACCACCTACTGAAAACACCGTGCTGGTGACAGATGGGACAGGTAATCTCAGTTTTTCACCGTCACACACAAGGGCAGACGTGTCGGCCACGACGTACACCATTACATCTAATGATGATATAGTGGCCATCACTGTGGCTCAAGATACGACTGTAACCCTACCTGACCCGGCTATAAAGACGGTCGGAGATATCCTATACGTCGTCAAGCAGGTCGCGGGTAACAACGTTGTCACGATAAACCCCAATTCCACCGAGCTCATATCAGGTCAACCAAATTACACATTCTCTGTTGACTATGGAGCAACCAAGATGTACACAAACGCTTCTATTTGAGCACATTCATGTGTGTTTTGACAAGAAAAATAATATTGGCAAGAGTAATCCGATACAAGTTACAGCAAAAATACTGGTTAATGTATCCACCATGGTGGTGGATATACAATCGAGGGTGACCAGGACCTGGATATTACTCCGGGGGCGTCAACGTCTGTCACTACAACAGGTCCCATAAGTTTCCCCGTGTCAGATGGGGGTATGAAGACAAATATGACCTTCTCTAGCAGTGGACAGTCGACATTCGTTCCCAGAGCTTCCGTACAGGTAGTAACCACGCCTACAACGACAATCCTAGACACCACAACTATACTATTACCGGTCAACTACAACGGTCCCGTGACTCTTACCCTACCATCCAGTACATTGGGTATGTATGTACATCATCGACGAGGGCGGATTTAGTTCCGACACGAACATTATTACGGTAACACCAGGTGGAGGTACGGCCAGTGGGGACGTCACCAAAATCCAGCCGTACTCATCAATACGGGTCAGCCCAAACCCTTCCGGGGATTGGTTCCTGAAACAGGCCGGTACGGTGGTTAATCCCGATGGGTCTACAACTGTGGAAAACAGCGATGGTTCAACTACAACATCATCACCAGATGGTACAAGATGGTACCATCACAACCGATCTACGGATGCCAATGGAAACGTCACGGAAAACGTTGTTTCTCCAGATGGGACCGTATCAAACACCGTTGTTACAGAACCACAGTTCTTACACGGTGGTACAACCGGACGGTTGGTACCACCGAGACAAACGGAAACTACGACTATACCACCGGTATTTGTTGGGGGGCAGGTGAACAACGGAGGAGCGGGAGCAATCCGCAACAACAACAGATGATGTTGGAAGTAGGAATATAGCAACGAATCGCATGGTGGTCTATCTATGTCTACAATGAATGCCTTGGAGGCCCCGGGCGGCCACCGATATATATGTATATATACAAGGGCTCCGGACTTCGGGCGCAGAGGCGCCCTCGTCCTCAGTAGTAGGCTTAAAGGGAAGGTGTGAAGGCTGTGCACAGCATACCAAGGGCATGAAGCCGCAGGGTGACCGAATGAATGGTATAAAGATGTTCGCGTTGTATTCGAGAAATGCGCCGTTCCCGGTGTAACATGAAGCCAAAAGAGTCGCGTGTACGTGATATTTTGTCTAGCTTCGCCCGGTGCGGACGAAAAGGAGATGTAAGCTACAGTCGCCTCCCTATTCTTGCGCCGGTAAGAACGTAGTAACACTCTCAGGAAACTTTCTCTAATTGGCTTTGCGGTGGCCAATATCCTCCCCAAAGGGGCCAAAGAAAGAACGAACACTGCAACTGTTCGACGGTATTGCCGGTAGTTGATGGTGTGTTGCCGCCTAGCTCTCATATTCAAACTCCTTCAGTGTCGCGCCTTTCTCTTATATCCCCCTCTAATGTTCTGGAGCTATTATTCTAACGTCTTCAGTGTCGTCCCACTCGAATGGTCATATTCTAACTTCTTCAGTCTAATGTCGCGCCCTTCTCTAATGTCCTCCTCTAATGACGTCGATATGCGGTATCCCTCACAATGTGAAAGGAGGCGAACACCTACAACATTCAGACAAAGTAAGAACAAACACCGCACGCAATGGTTTGACTGCGTTGCCGCTAGTTGATGGTGAAAGAGTTGACGCCTCCCGCCTCGGGTCATCGTTGCCCCTTACGGCCCTGGTGGTTATTGCCGATTACCACTGCGGAAGGTATGGTTTCGTTTGCAGCCTTTTGTACGCAGGTCTCGAGCTTCTTAATATTGAAGCGTGACGGTGATGGCCGTGATGATGTCGGTGATGGTGCAGGCGGTAGGGTGCCTGCGCTGGCGGCAGAATGCTATTATTGGGGAGATCGATGTAAGAGCGTGTACGTGTCATAACCGTATAACGTAAATTTAAAGCAGAAGAAAGAGGTTGTTGGGGAGGAGGTAATGTGGAGGCATTAAAGTGGATGTTTATCTGAGCATCAAAAATTCGTTTAGCTGCGATGATTTCTTCGACACGGAATAGTTCTCATAATGTGGTTGGAGGTCGAATATGCCGTGGTACGCACGTCCATGCAAGGTGAGCATTGAAGGGGCTGGCGGTTCAGTCCATGTCTTTTTTTGAATACCGCCTGCGCCTAATAATGCAGTAAATCCGAAAAGCCCGTTGTACCTTTTTTGCGCAGAAATGAATTTAGTAGTTTCAAACAGCGCCATAAGATAGTGGGGGATAGATTGGAGAGGATGGATACACGACTTGCCTTTGTTACAACAATTTAATCCCTTTTCTTCTTTCCAAAGTTGAGCATTGCAGTGAGAACATGTGATATTTTGTGGATCATCCAAATCCGTGTGTTTTAGCTCAAAAGGTGCCGAGGGGAAGTCGAATGATTGCAAGTCAATGTCTTGCACTCCAAGGCAGATTTGGTTATTAGCATCACCGCGATGGCTGTCTAGAGTGGGTGCCGGTAACCTTGGTGCACGATTCCTCATTTGGCTAAAATGTTGACGTATCATATCGAGTTCAGGGTCTGAGTCGTGTGGTGTGTTATTGTTTGCATTGCGACGTCGACGTTCCGATAAGATTTCAGCTTGCGCGTTATCCGGACAGATTTGTGGTGTTCGAGTTTCAGGCGTTGTTCGTGGTTGGGTGAGCGATCTTCGTTGAGTATTTCGACGAGCTGAAGGTGTTCGTCGATTTGGAGTTGTTTGTACGTTCCTCGAGGGAGTGTTACTCTGGCTGGGTGTGGAACTTTGGTGTGGATTGTGACGTGCAGTATGTGATGATCGTGTTTGGCGATTTTGAGATGCGGCTGCTGAAGGAGTTACCCGATGAATTGGCGTCGGCCGACATCGATGATTGTCAGACATGGGGTGATATCTTTACTCTATTGATAGTTGGCGAAAGCCAGTTGCAGGTGTCAACAATGTGCCTTGAATTTCTTGAGACGTTTACTTTTTTCTGAAATGGAAACACGCGTCTTACTTTAGAGGTCGGCGTGGGTAGTTCCCAGGTCGCGGTGCTCGTCGGTCTTGTTGAGGATCTCGTTGATGGTCCGGTCCCACAGGCGGCGGGCGCACTGGTAGTGCAGCGGCGGGGAGTCTCAATCCTTGATGATCAGGTCGTCCTCGACGATCTCGCCCGTGCACCCGTCGGCCAGGTCTTCCTCGTTAGTCGCTGCGTCGGAACACCTTTGCAGTGGATATCGGATGGATGACAGGG